TGCCCCATTTGTTTATTTAACTCATGTATACACCACCCAGCATTCTATCAGAATTTCAGTGTTTGTAAGTAATTATATCACAAAGCATTAAAACAGCAAGTAAAACCCTTAATCATTAAAATGTTTACAAGCCATTAAAATGCTTGGAGGAATAAAATGACAGGTGCCAAATGGACTGCAATGTGGGTGCTTAGATGAGCCTCTTTAGGGAGGACATTCCACAGCCAAGCCACCATTGCCCAGGCAGCCCTTTGCTGCTCCCATACTTTCATTTTGCGTCACTCTTTGCTGTCCTTATTGCATTCATCTTCTTTACAGCTTTGTGAGAGGCATTAGTATTGTTTGGATATGAGGGATGATGCATGGTTGAAAGCAGCAAGTGGCCCATGTCTCTGCTTTGAGTCTGCAGTCCTGAGTCTACATCCTACTGAGTGAAATTAGGAGGTGTTGCTGCGTCCCCATGATGTATGCACACATTAAAATACAGAACAACTGGGGTGTGAAACGTATGCTTTTCGGTATAAGCTTGCGAGGATTTAGGAACAAGGTATTTATTTATTTATTTTATTTTTAGATCGCCCAATAGCTGAGGCTTTCTGGGCGGTTAACAATTAAACAAAAATTAGTTAAAATTAAACAAAAATTTTAACAGTTAATTTCTCCCTCATAATATGCCACACACCAGTTATTGCAGGAAAAACATTAGTAAAGTAATAGCAGTTTTGGCTGAAGATGATCTGCCCATATGGTTACCATGTTCACATCAAAAAGAAATATAGATGAGATCTAGTTATCCAGGAACTGACCAAACTGAGAAGCTCATCTGATGTGTGTTGTGATTTCTGTGTCACGTGCAGTGAAACCAGATTATTAGATGACTTACCACACCTCCTATACTGTGTAACAGCAATCATTGCATGAATCAAACCACTGCAACAGTGGCTTGACTGATACACCAAAATATGTTGTAGATTCCAACAGCCTTGCTCTTCTTGGAATGTCCCTCATGCACAAATTATCCAAAGTAAGGAATAACCTGCAATATTATATGGTGTCATTAACCCTGGTTCCTGTCTGAGGACAGTTCTCAGCTCTAGGCAAGGCAGAGCCAACCTGCACCACTGGGGTCCCAGCCAAGCCCTCCAGGATTTCCTAGATGGCCACACCCCAGTATGTTCATAGTTTGGCCCTACCCCTTTTGCTTATGACCATCAGTGAAATGAACCCTCTAAGAGTTTCTCCAAAATTGATTTCAAACCTTGGGGCTGACATAGATTCATCACCCCAGGTCTAGACCTTAAGAATCATCTTCAATCAGAAAACATAGGATTATATGTTTGACTTTATACCATTTCCTTTGGGCTTTAGAAAACAGTGTAAAATGTAGACTCACTACTAAAACAGGCTGCACTTCTACGTATGTTCAGACAGAAAAAAGCTCTGCAACTTGTAGCATTTTCAAGCCAGCTATGTTTTTTCCTGCCTGAACATGCCTAGAATTGCACCCTAAACCCAGTGCAGGTTAGAGGCTCTGGTATTGGTGGGGCTGTGTAACTACACCAGATATTACTCGGAAGTTTAAAGGAGCTGACCATGGTCCTGAACCCTATCTCCAAAATATTTGCAATAGATTCATATCCTCCATTACCTAAATCACTCCAGTTATTTATTTTAGCTTCTTTGCTCCAGGGACTCTAGGAATAGTCAGCCCCTATTTACAAATCAAGCAAATTCATCTTTTCTTCATTGGATAACTTTTTGGTCTACAAAATTCACAATATTACTATTTATGCTTTATTACATTTATGTCCTACCTTTACTCCAAGAGGTATATATAGTGTCTCCAACTTTTCATTCTCACAACAACTCTGTTAGGTAGATCAGGCTAAGAATATGTCTGCCTCAAGGATGCCCAGCTGAACGGGTAAAAGTAAAAAGTGGCCCAGGGTAGGAGCTGGCTACATGGGTCAGGATAATGGTGAATGCTTCTTTACATCAACATGTGATTCCATTGTGTCTGAAGTGCTGGTGGTAATAACTTTTTGTAACTCTTCCTTAAATTAACCATGACACTGATGAATTTCTGGCAAATTTTCAATATTTTGGAGCAGGTACTAGAGAGATGACATCTCAGCTTCAGGTATTTTATGGATAGATTATCTCAGTCCATTTCAGTCTAGCTTTATGCCTTATTACATATCAGAGACTACTTTGGTTGACAGGGCGGATAATCTAATTGTGACAGACTAGTTCTAGGAAATGTGTTTCTCTTGATTCTGTGGGACCTCTCACCAGCTTTTCACTGAGCATGGTATCTTGCTGGACAGAATGGGAAGGGACGGGACTTGGAGGCACCATTTTATGACACTCATCCTTCCTAGAGGAATGATTTCAGAACGTGCTGTTTAAGGAGTCCTATTTGATATCATGGTCATTGGCTTATGGTCTTTCTCCAACTTGAGAGTTCCATCTTGTCCCCCACTGTATAAAAAGTATTAGACTGCAACTTGGGAGATAGAAAGTTGCCATTCCTACTCTGCTGTGAAGCACACCAAGTTACTTTGGGCCAGCCCATGACTTTCAGGCTAACGTACTTCACAGTGCTGTTGTGCGTATAAAATGAAGAGGAAGATCATGTAAACCACTCTGGATTTCTTGGGGCGGGGGAAAGGGCAGTCTATAAATATATAAATGGCTTGCACTCCTCCAAGTTTCATCCGAGCCTGACAAATAGGAATAACAAGATAATGTTGTGTATTTGCTTTTATTTTCCAGTGATGACAGTCGATGGCTGTCATGAAGATTTAGATTTCCTGGCCCTCTTCAAAAAAACAAAAAACAAAAAACAAAAACCCTGAGATGACTAGGATTGTTTTCCAAATAATCAAATTGTCATTTGAACCAAATCTTGTGTTCAGTGCAGAACATAAGAACCAAAGAAATGTCATGCTGGATCACACCAAGGGACCATCTAGTCTAGCATTCTGTTCACAAAACTGGCAAACCAGCTGCCCACAGACAGTATATGTATGAATGCAAACAGCATTCTTCTGTCCAAGTTCCCCAGCACAAGCTTTTGCTCGTTTTCCTCATTTGGGCAAGATTTCCATTTTCTTGGGGAAGACTTCTTTTTTCTCTAATAGTTTCATTGGCATGGCTTATTAAACATGCTGGAGACTTAACTCTTGAACTTTGTGCTACCTTTTCTAATTTGTAGAATACATACTACCTGAGCTTCTGTTACTGTGCTTTGGAATAATTTCCAAGCATTTTGAAGCAATCTAACCCTCTTTACTCCCCTTTTCACCAGTTCCCTTATTTTAGGGGCAACATATTAGTTTTAGGTCAATTGTAACTTGTTGGATCTCTCTGGCAATCTGTCATGTAAATATATATTACATTGGATAACTCTGTGGTCAGTTTTTGAATGATTCAGCATTTACATCTCATACTAGGTCCTCTGCAATCTCATCTCTGGTCAGTTTCATGACCACAAAGTTGACACTGATGCTGGCCAGCTCCTGGAGTGGGAGAGATGCTGAAGAAAGTCATGTGGTATTGTCAGCAGACCAGACCTTCAAAACTCTTATAGCTCTAAGCAACTCCTTGTTATGAATATTCATCTGTTGTATAACTATCTGTCATGGAGTTTAAAAGGTAGAAGACCACCTGGAACAAGTAGGTGGAAAACCTCTAGAGGAAAGTCTGCTAGAATGATTTCAGTACACATTCTTTGCCTGAGGAATGTTTTGGAGTGTTTTAGGGTCATTTCTGCCACACTTTGTGTCTTTACCCTGCATGAGACTCCTCATAAATCATGACCTTGAGACTGCCATTTACCATGTGGAGTAGAAAGCCCTGGTTCAATTGCTTGTGTGATTAGAAGGATCAGGCTGTTCTGCAGCTTTTAAAAGCTGCTTCATAGAGCCAGTTGAATGGACTGAGGTCTAGCCCTAGTGAGACAGTTGGGAGCATGATGATGTCCCCACTTCTGGGGTTATGTTATGTAGACTTTCCAAGCAGCTGTATATCCAAAATGAAGAACCTGTGACGAGGGTGGGTCCACTATGGGTGCCAGTGCTGATTTTCAGCTGCCGTTCACTTCTTGTATATTAAATTAGGGAAGGTGCCTCATGGATTTTCCATCTCAGGTCCCAAAACCTCCAGCTGAGCCTGTCTTGGTCCTACCTCTTACAGATCTATAGGAGTGAAGGGTGACTGAGGGGGTTCCAGTAGATGTCACTTAAGATGTTGCATTATGTTCTAAACTTCTGAAACAACCTTTCAGCTGCTCGGAGGTGTCTTTTCACAGCAACATCGCTCTGAAGGAAGCCACGGCTGGTACATCCCCCGATGCAAGAACTACCTAGGATGCGATGCGCGAGGCTATGGGCGACGCGTCGCCTTTTTGTGCCTTGGCGGTGACCCAGCTAATTGAGCGGCGGCGGCAGGAGCCTCCTCCCGCCTCTGTCAGCGAGCACCTCCCTTCCTTCCCTTTGGGCTTTTTGGGGGGGTGGGGGTGTTGTTGTTTTTCGCCGCTGCAGCTTTGCTTGCAGGGAGGGCGTGTGCCATTCCGAGCCGGCTGCCAGGTGCACACGCCTCTCTGCCTGACGAGCGAAGAGAAGGGAGGCTGAAGCGCGCCGCAGCTGGAAGGGCAAGTTTGTCAGCGCGGCGGCTCCACCCAGCTTCTCGGCTGCTGCTGGCGGGAGGGGAGGCGTAATTAGTAGCTAACTTGCACGAGGAGGAGCCGTCGTCTGTCTGCCTCCCGGGGGAAGGGAAGGGAAGGGAAGGGAAGGGAAGAGTCAGTGCGTGCCCGACTTGTTTGTGTGCGAGTGCGAAAGGGAGGGAGCCAAAGAGTGCCTCGCCTCGCCCCGACCCCTGGCTTGGATTGTGGTGTGCGGAGGCCTCCGCCCAAGCGAGGCTGCGAGGAGCCGCCCTGCCTCCCCGCCCGCCCGACTGGCTGAGTGATTCGAGCGCCCCTCCCTGACCCGACCCTTCCTCCCTCCCTTCTTCCTTCCCGCCCTCTTAGTTACCCCGCCGGCCAAGGGAGCCTGGCAGAGCGAGCGGCGCCGGCGTCATGTGACAGCGCTGCCTAGTGCCAGGAGCCTGCCCGAGTGGGGGAAGAGAAGCAAGCAAGGAAGACGAGGCGCTCGGGCGGACGCGCGGCTGCTGCTGGGGAAGAGGCAAAGGATACACAGGCTCCGGCGGAGGCGCCCCGCGAAGACCTCCTCCCGCCCCTTCCTGCCTTCGCAAGGACCTAAGCGGCGAAGAGAGCCGCTCTTTGGTCTCCTCGAGAGAAAAGCAGCACCGTGTCCCCCGCCCCCCGCTCCTCAGTAACTTAAGCAGCAACTTCTGTGCCCCGGTGCGGCGAGCTGGGGCAGTCGCGTTGATCGCCTCGCTTGGCTTGGCAAGTAAAAAGTAAGCGGCGCGGAGAGAGGGGAGGAGGACAAGGTGGCGGTGGCGATTCCAGGGAAAGCGACGTGTCTAGCGCGGGGAGGAGTGGGGGGAGGGACAGACACGCGGGGGGCGCACCGTGGGAGGCACAGCACGGGGGGAGACCGCGCACCCGCGAGCACACGCCGCGCACGGACATTCAGAATCGTGGGAAGGGAGCGCTGCTCGGAAGACGTGCGACGCTCGCGCCATCCGCTTCTGGGCAAAGTGGCGTTTGCCACTTCGGCGTGAACGGCGTTGCAGCTGCAAAAGTTGCGGGTGGGCGGTGCAATCTCTCTCCAGCACCCCGACGTGCATTGGGCAGGGGGTTCGAGACCTGCCTCTTGGATTACCAGGTGCTGTTTTCACGACTCTGCACTTTCGCGTTCGCGCGTATCCATTGGTCTGCAGTTGACTTGAGGGTCTCTCGGTTGCGAGTGGGCATCCTTTGTGTTCATATTCCTGTTCTTCTGAAATATGATCCATTCATCCTGCCATTTGGACCGGTGGTGATATGGAATGAGAGGCATCTAACAAAAGCCTGCGGTGCCATCTCTTTCTTGAAGGGCTTCTTTTTTATTTCTTTTTAAAGGAACACCTGAAGATACTGGAATAGAGACTTTTGACAGATTTTGCAGCCACTTTCTTGGGATACTTCAAGTGGGGGGAAAAAGCTGTATGCGCGTTTGGGTTCCCTGTGCTCATCACAATGTTCCCTGCTAGATTTTTTTTTTTTTTCCCAACAGTGACCCTCGAACTGCCTACATCATTACCTCCTTGGAGAAGCCCCATTTAAATCATTCAGTGTCAGTAGAACTGCTGTGTAGTGTATTGCAGGGGAATCCAGGGCTTCTCAGCAAGGGTTAGGGAAAACAGAGTTTCTGTGATGAGAAAGATGATTTGTGTAGCCTTAGGGTTTTGTTCCTAAAGTAAATTAATATCTCTGTACATAATGATAGACATTCTTCTCTTTGAAGTGGTTTTTTTAAAAAGGTACATCTATTACTATTTAACCAGTTGAGCTGTTGTTTGAGGAAACCCTAACCCTTAAAGAACAAAACTAATTTGAACATGAAGCTGGTTGCTTTGTCCCTGTTGAAGTACACATTTGTCTTGAGTGGAGAAGTTATGTATGATGATTTCAGTAGAAATTAGGATAAGAATGAAAGCACTGCAGAAGAGTTGTTTGCCTATGTTTTATCCTCATTAGCCAAATAGACTCTTCAACAGAAATTAGTGTGTTTCCATATTTTAAGTGTACACACACCTGGAATAAATATGCACCAAAACCATTTGCATTAAATTATGTTAGGGCAAATGGTAGACTCTCTCTTCCCCATGTCTATAAAAATGCATAATTGGAAAGTATCAATACTTGGCTTCCTTCCTTTCTGAAAGTTGTTTTCCTTGTGGTTAAAGACAGTTCAATGCTACATGAATGTTTGTCAGATCCAGCTTCCATATTTAAATGTCTTCAGTGATAAATATATAGTAAGAATGCTAGGTCTACCTAGGGAAATTAAGCTAGGGTCCTCAAACATGCATTTAGATGAATGTTTCATTTTCTACTCAATACAGAAATTGGTAGATGAAATTGTTCACCTTCACACCTTTCATTCTTCTGCTGAGTGATCTGTACACACACTGCAAGTGCAACAGTACTTCTTACACCATGTGTATGGCCTTTTGCAAAAGCAGGAAGTGCCACAGTTCACAAAACTCACTTTTTTTCCAGTTTCTGGGAATCTAAACCTTTCATTGATGTTGGGGCCTTTAGTGGTCTAAATGACAGTTTTAAATCTGTTAACTTTTACTGAAAGCCAAAAAGTGCACTGTAACTATTTCCTTCCATAGAATAGTGTTACAAACTTTCTTTATAGTTTTCCTTATTAGTTGCTATATGATAGGGCTCAAATCTAGAATAGATCAACATTTTGACTTAAGAGTAGTGTTTATCAAATTAACGTCCCATTAAAACTTATTTTTCCTACAGCACAAATGCATTCAGATTGTCTTTTTTCCTTCTGTATTTGCCTTCCCATCTCCTGAAAGCAAAATATAGATTTTTAAAAAATCTGAATAGACTTTTAGGTTTTACTTTGACTGAATTTTATACTGGCAAATATAGATATGAAATATCAAACAACATTGAGAATAACAGTGTCTAATAACAATGAAACCTGATTGTTAGAGCAATCTCCAGATTTAGTGTTCTGCCTTGATTTTTATGGTTATCAAAGTAATATACCAGAAGTAAAGTTACAATCTAGTGACAAAGAAGATACATTAGCCATACTCAATTGGATATCCAAGATGTGTTGAGTTACAGTTTCCATCATCCGTTGACCTTGCTGGCAGGGTGTTATGAGGATTGTAGTAAAATACATCTAGAGGGTACTGGATTAGGGAAAAGTTAGATTGAACATCCACAGATACTTTGCATTAATCTCCATTGGAAAATAATACTGAATAAATATATATAGTTGCATGCTAAATAGATTTAGTTGCTATGTTTCTGAATGCTGAAAACAAAGAAAATAAGAGAACTCTAGTCAACAATGCATATCAGTTAATGGAGTGGATACAGCTTAGCTTAAATAGTTTAAGCCTAACTGGTTTAGTTGAGAAAGAGTTAAATTGCTAAGACTAGATTAATACAAGTAGGAAACTACAGTAGCCTGTTGAAGATTACTGATTGAAAACCATATCCAAGTGCCTGTAATAAAATTTACAATGGTTGCTATGCAATATAGCACATCTCTATACTCCTCTCATTAGTTACAGGAGAACAGCTGTTACAGTGGGCCTATGTTACTGTTCTATCTTATGTTTTAGTTAAAAATTAATACCATAAAGTGCAGAAGACAGAAATAAACCTGGTCTTCTTTGTAGACAATATTGTGGTCTATTTGTGGAGCAGTTCAGATATCCCAATAAGCAGCAGTTTATCTGGAATGTGAATGAATATCAGTGAGCCTAAGGCTCACTTGCAGGTGCAAGTGTTTTGGTGCAGGCACGAGAAACTTTTGCTTCCATTTTCAATTAATCACAGTTTAGCATGACATCCAAACCATAAACTATGGTTAATCTTAACTATGGTTGCTTGCAGCATACTAGATTTATGGCCCATGATTCAAACGTGACCTGTTGCAAACAAACACAGTTAATATTAACTACTGCTTGTTGGGTTTAGAGAAACAGAGAAGCTGTGATGAAGGCATATGGAAGCCAATGTTCCATTTGTGGCCAATGTAGAGGAGAAAAAGGGAGGTAATATGTGGGCCTGAGATTCATTGTTGCTTGTTTACATTGCAATAAATCTTGCTTATTTATGACATCTGAACTCTTTCAGTGTCTGTCTTGATACTTTCATATTAAAATGTGTCTTAGTATTATATTAACTTTTGTTTTCAATGATATATTTCTGCATGCAATGTCCGATATTCCAGTACTATCATTAGATACTAAGTTGTTGAAAGATTTGTTATAAAGAGAGCAGGCAGACTAGAAAGTGCCATAAATCAAGGCTCTGATAATTGGCTGTTCATTTTTTTCCTTTTGAAAGAATGTATTTATTGGGACCCATGAGTCTGCTTTGTGTCTTGATAACAAAAGTTTGTTCATCTTCTTCATAATTTCAGAATGTTTTTTTAAAAGATAAATCTACAGGGAGTCTAGGGTTAACTAATTTAAGCTGTTTGGTACGGGAAAAATCACATGTTATGATTATGTTGTCCAGCATAGATATTAGCAGTGTTTGTTAAAGGCAGATCTCTTATATAGACACAGCAATTTTTATGTACACCCACTGACCAAACACTCCCACTTTGTTTGTTTGTTTGTTTGTTTGTTCTTTTTAAAAAGTCCAGCTATACATGAATATAGAGGTCAGGAAGGGCCACCTAAATGTTTCTCTTAGCTTTCTTTCCAGCCCAGCCAGCAGAGCAGTTTCCTGTTCTTTGTTTCAAGGCTGAGGTTTGCGTCATACATTCCAAGTAGCATATGTGTGCTCTTTCCTGTTTCAGGCTGTTTCTGGTAGATCAGTAGCCCAAACCCGGCCCCTTGTCACTGCCCTACAACTCCCAATCCCCACCCAGTGTATTATCATGTCTCTACACACTCATGATTGCCTAAGTTGCCTGTGTTATGTCACCGTATGTAGCCTGTGTTAACCTTTTAACTCACACACTCTGAGCTCTGGTTTGCTTTGGTAATTAAGGATTCTTATTAATATGATTTTTTAAAGGACAAGATAGAGGTTTGATTGCTCGTTTGAAAAAATAGCATTCAGGGGTATAAATCTGAAATAATTCAACTGAAGTACTTGCATCTACAAATAAAGAAAAAATAGACTATTCAGTAGTTTGTTAAACTATATTCAGTATTCAGTATTGGTTCTTAATGGTTTTACAAAAATCACTTCCTAATGTAGTTTTGTTTAGCTTTACCTGCCTGTGGTGGCAGCGGCGATGGTGATAATAATGCCAGTATGAAGCACATTTCACTTTATCAAAGCATGCCATGTACATTCTTCATTTTAATGACCACCCAAATGAGAAACCTTTGTACAAAATTGAAAATGAAGCATGTCGGAATTGGAAGATACTCTTCATTTCACTGAGATCACCAGATGCCTTAAGACAGTGATCTAGTTTACATGTAGCAACAATCCGTAGGTCAATGGGGAGCCCAAGAGAGCCACTGTGCTGCTGCACACGCACAACTTCCATGTTTAATCAGCCACCCATGATAGGCTCATTCATAGGTGGTTAGACTTTATGTGAGAACCTGTAGTGCTTGGTTGTTAGGGTTAACCTAACAAACCATAGTTACACATTGAGTTGTTTATTCCCTAGACAACCACCTGACAAGCTGGGTTCACATGTGATGCTCAGCAACCTACATCCCAGCCAATCATAGTTGTTAATTAAAAACAAAAAGAATGAGTGTACAAGAAGCAGTGCTCCTATTTGTGCATGACAACCCATGAGTTATTTATCCTATGAACTGTCATCTGCAAACCAGGTAGTAGAGTCATGTTCTTAAATAATTTCCATTCCCACACTTCTTTTAAATAAAATACCATCTCTGTGCACTCTGTGAAAGTGCTTACTAACCTTTGTTTGGGATAGAGAAATGCAAATTTTTCCATATGGTGTGAAACATTAAACATTACTTGTTGAAATAAAATAGTATATTGATTGAACTGGAAAGCAAGGACAGGTTTATGAGTAGGCAAGCAATGTTCAAGAGGAAGTTCAGAGAGAAAATTTGTAACATCTGCACTGTACTTTGCTTTATTAGTGATTGAGTTAAAGATGCATTTTGCAGTTACCAAGTATTCTTGTTGAAGATGGTGTGGCTATTTATGAGCAAATCTATTACAGACTTGAGGCAGGGTCCGCTAACATCACTTAAAAGAATACTATTGATTTAAGCATTTGACTTTAGATAGAATGCAGGACAAACACAAAATATATGAAAATAGGTAGACATCCTCTCATATGTTATGGTGAATTATTGTGAATGCTTCTAAAGTTTACATTTTTTTATCATCCCACACATACCACTCCAATAACTTCTGCCCAGATTTGTTAGATTAGCGATCATTTAAGGATTATTACAAAAAGTATCTTAAATGTACCTAACAATAACTTCCATATACCAAACTTTAACTACATTAATATATTTATTGTGTACCCCTCCATGCCAGACAAGGAGATTTGGGAAAAGAAACAGACTCCTGTATGATTAATGCTGCTGGACCAGAAGCTGCTGATCTAAATTGGATACACATCTGGATATAGATGCCATTTAACTGCATATCATTACATCCAGTTGGATGTTCATTTAGATGAGTGTCTCCATCTACAGTGTGGTGCAACTAATCATGTGAATTAACATATGATAAGAACTGGATTGGGGCATATAGGGCACAATCTAACCAAAGATTTATAAGTTGTATTGATTTCAACCAAGTGTTTAAAGCTTTCTCTCATTAAATTTAAGACTTAAAAGTGTTTAGCTTTTGGAGGTTTTTTATTATGTCTATTCTGCTTATGCTGCCTGTTTTCTTTTTTTCTTTCCTTAGAAAGACACTTCAAAAAATTGTAAAACAGAAGCTAATCTTTTAGGTAAGTTTTATTTGCAAACATATTCAATTCTCTTCTGAGGAAGTGTTAAACAGTTTTGATTCTCTAAATATTAAAGATTTGCTCAGTGTGCATAAACATGGACAAAATTGGACCTGAGCATGTAGCCTAAGGGTTGCTGAAACCTTTTCTTGCCTATGCATAGTATAGTAAACTACGATTAATGCGCTGTGCTAATATGGCTATTGGCAGAACTGCCTTATAAAAAATAACATCAGATTAGTGTTTTTAAACAACTTTGCTAGTGCCAGAAAGAGAACAAAGATGCTACGCAAGCTTTTTTAAGGACAGCATTCTTCCATGGAGGTGCCACCACTGAAAAGCCTAGATCTGATTTTTACTGTATCTTTGATGATGAAGCAGGCATCAAATGATCTCAGTGAATAGGCAGTGTCCTATGTAGAATTACTACATGTTAATTGAATTGTAAAGTCAAACTTTCATGTCAGCCCTACTAATTTCAGATTCATTTGTTCTGCACAGCCATATTCTTGGGTTTATAGTCGTATGCAAGAGGTGTATATCCCACTCTTTCCTTTTAAGAAAAGACTGCTTTGGTGCATCTTATAGCAGATCAGACCATCTAAGCCAGCACTGTACAATACTGATGAGCTTTCCCAGCCCAGCTAGTTAATGCTGGGAATTGAAGCTGCTGCTAAACTACATACAGCCATTCCTGTACAAAAAATATGTTCCCCATTTACTTCAGTGGCAGAGGCATTCCATTCCCACCCACCTGAAAGAGAGAGAGAGAATGTGAACATGCAGATACTCTTGTCACTCATTAACGTGAATGGAGGGAAATCCATGTATATAGAAGCTCCATGTATTCATCAAGCGATACATGTAGCTCTAAATAGGGATCATTGTCTACCATTGTAAGAAGTTTGAGCTCAAAGGTTTCCCACAGTTTCCTTCCTAGAGACATCTATAGGCATTCATTGTACTAACTATCCCACTGAGCAGCTGTCATTTCAATATGATATTCCTTCCTCCGTATTCAAGATTGAAATGTTGAAATGTAAATTCTCCGCATAGGCAGTACAAGTCAGGTGTTCATAATTAAAAAACATCATGTACTTTATTCTCCTAGGACTATACCAGTTCAGGAAGATGTGGATTTCACATCTAAAGGCAGCACCATACTGTTATTGTTTTAGCTTAAATAATATTTTAAGCTCTTAAATTTAATTCTTTCCTCAGCTTCACATAGTACCAAGCTTTTTTTACAGGGTATCTAATACCCATGCATTCCAAGAGAACAAATTATTTGAACTTACCCATAATGGGGTAACTGGTGTGTGTTGTCTGATACACACCAGCTCTGTACAGCTCAAAAGGCTTGACACAATGGGGAATGAGCAAATTGCTTTTCTGGAGGAAAAAAATATCCAATTTTTTAAGCCATTTTCCATTCCCATCCTCTAACTTCTATTCCATTGTTTGATTTGTCATATTGGTAACTACAGTAATCACAGTTAATTGAGATTTCTGTTTAACTGGGATTTGTATTTAACATTAAATCCTGATCTCAAATCCTGGTTAAATTACCTATAATAATAAAAGAGCATAGTACCAAGCTCATAAAATGTAGACATGCATACTAGGTGTAGGCACAGCAGGATTATTTGGTGTGTAAAATGCATTAATTGTAATTAATATTAAAGGTGTGGCATATTAGCTGCAGTCTCAAGGTGGTAACCCTTCTTAACCAGTTCATAGCTTTTTAATCAATACAGAATGCAAGGGAAGTAGTCCAAGGGACAGATCTGTACAGTTGTAACCTTCTGTGAAGCACTCATTCCCGCCTACCAGGAGAGGCAAGTTGACAGACTTCTCCCTTAGCAGCTTTAGGTGTATGCCATGGCAGGAGGCAAAGCCTAGGGGACCACTGGTCAATGGGGAAAAGGTGCTGTCCTTCTCTGCATGCCCATGTATGTATATGTGTATGTATTTATATCCAACCTTTTTTCCTTCCAGGGAACTCAAGGTAGCTTACATAATTCTCTTCCTCCTCTCAATCATAATCTTAACACTGTGAAGGAGGTTGGGCTGAGAGTCTGTGAATGACCCAAAGTTACCCAGGTAGCTCCATGGCTGAGTAAGGACTAGCACACAGATCTCCTGAGTTCCAGGCCTGCAATCTTAACCACTCTACCACACTGGCTGTTTTCATCTTGAAGCCTGAGTAACAATGCATGGTTGGTGTTCCAGGGTAACTGGAACTCTTGCAAGGAGCATGTATCTGCCCCATTGAGTTTACTCAAGTGGACTGTACATTGTTACATTCTTCAAAAGTGAACTCATTTTAAAAATACATTGAAGTCGCTATTTCCCTTCTGCTTGGAAAGGAAAAAGTTTCATACCATTCTGCATATTTCACTTGTTTTTAGAAGTCAGCCCTTTCTTTTTGCTCAAATTATCTGTGGAAGTAGAAGCTTGAGACAGGAAGCCAGATAAAATTCTGCTTTGATAGAGCACATTGTCTCATGAAGGTGGCTTGAGGCTCTCAGAAATATCTAAGAGAGATAAAGTTGGAGGGTAATAGGAGTTGCACACGACATTATGTGGCAGCAAAGACCTTTTGAAATCAAATATGCTACTGTATCTAGTATATATATGGGGGGAACACTTCACCCCACAATAATTATATGGTATGCATTTTATTCATAATATTGTTATCCCAGTTCAGGTTAAAAGTTGTTTTGCATTAAACAAACTAGGAGACTTGTTGAGTGTTCATCAGACATGTTGCATAGTAGAATCAGACCAAGGTTGAATAGTTATTCCAAGGTTCTCTGTCCAAATGCATAATACTAAAACTGTTTCCTGCTTTCCACTAGTTCTAACATTCCTTTAGGCCTGTAATTTCTAATTATTAGATTAATAAATTAAAGCTTTAGTTGTTTAATCAGTGAGAGCAAAATTTAATCAATGGGCCCAAGATTAATCATTTTTGGCCTTAATGAATGGTAGTTTTTCTTATTATTTTAGTTTGTTGTTTGCTTATTATCAGTTATCTTACACTTCCTTCAGTAACTTGCAGATGCACTGAAGTTTTTGTAATATGCAAATATGTTTAAATTTCTTCTGTCTAATGATTAAAATTATTTAAATACATCTATATCATCTACTTGCCTATCTATATCTTTGGATGATTGCAACATTACTTTTCTTAAAACCATACTTCAGAGGTTGTATTGTTTTTCTGTTCACTATCAGTAGTAAATCTTTTTTGCTTGTACTAGCTGGGCTTTGTAACTATCTGATGTCAAAGTAAAGTCTCATTTAGTAAAATGCTTATGGTGATAATTAGATCTTGATGAAGCCAGGGAAATCATAGATGTGGTGAAAACCTTTTTAAAATAGAGCAGTCAAATGTTCTTTTTGTGTTGGGCGTTCAGTGAATTTCTTCAGTATACGCTTTATAATAATTCTTATTCTTCAAGAGTCTTTATAATTTTAGCATTGCCACATTTAGGCTATAGCAACTCACAATCTGTGATCAGAATAAAATAGTTCACTGAAGGTACCTGAAAATAGATTTTGTCTCCTGGGGGTACACTGGCTCTTCTTCAGTGTTAGGGGAAGAGAGTGTGTGTGTGTGGAGGGGGGGGATCTTGCAGACATACTAGAAGTTCCAGATTTATGTCTGCAATTTCTCAACTGACTCCATGTAGGTAATGTTACTTAATTCATTGATACGATTTGCTTTATACCCCTGCCTGCCCATGAAAAGGCACTCAAGGCAGCTAATAATCTCAAGTTTTCTAGGACTAGATGGAATTCATTGGGATTTTCCCCATTGCTTGATCTCTTTGCTCATTGACCTGTGTGGCCAACTGTTGACACCCAATAGGATGACGGAGGGAACAGGCACTAGTTTTCAGCATAAGAGGAAATATGTAATTTTTTCTGAACATAAGAAATGTGAAACCATTTTTTTTAAATGCTGACTTAGCAAATAAGTCTCATTGAGTTCAATGGGATTCAGGTGCTTACTAAGTACTCTTACTTTTAGATCACTTTTTAAATCATTTTTCCTGTGCTGCTTCTGTCTCTTTTCAAGCTTTTTTTCATTTTTGAATGAATGAAACACCGTCTCTGAAGTCTCTATTTACTTAGATGCAATACACTTTCAACATAAATAAAAAACAATAATTTCAAAGAACATTCTGCTGAAATGTTGCATTCAGGTGAATTGATCCTTCTTTATCTATACAGGTATGACACATGTAGTGTGGATGGAACACAGTAGGATATAGCCATGCAAAGCACAGTGAGAAGTCAATTTCAGTTCCCTATTACATATAAGCTACATGTGACATTTCAGTGAATGGATCACACAAGAAAGCATTCATGCCCATGTATGTCTCTGTCAGAAATCCTGCAAAATAAATATGAGGACTGTCAAAATAAACCCTTTGAGAAGCAACTAGCGGTTTGACAGTGAGCTGTCCAAGGGTGGAAAAGTTCTAGGAAGCTAAGAAAAGATACTTCCCCCAACCCAATTCCCCCCCCCCCACAAAGGATCTTGCTGGAAAGGGGGTGATTTACCAGCAAAGGTCACTCTGCTGCTTGGATATCAGTGGAGTGGCTGGTGGTGGTGATGGATGGGCTATCTGAGCTAGGGTGAAAATGGGTCTTTAGTGCTCTTGCAGAGCAGCTTGCTAGCCACTTCTGGCAACCTACAATGGAGTCTGTCCTCCAAGTTCCAGAGATCTTTGCACAAGCAACCCAAAGAACAAGCCAGGGTTGTTGGGGTGACTTGTTGAACTTGCACAAGCTGTTCTGTGGGAACCAGGTTGCCATGACATGACAACCCACCATAGAATGCAGCCCAGGCAGACGGCCTCTCAGGGCAGGGAATTCCATATGTGGGGTGCCATTGTTCTGGAAAAAGTATTGCAACCAGCTGCTTCAGATGGCAGAGACATGCAAAAGTGGTCATCAGAAGATCTTACAAAGCATATAAGCGGGCATGGGAAGAAGCATAGCCTGGTTTGAAGCTACTCTCTGCTTTAAGAAATAGTCTTGATGAGGGAAAGTACAGGTAACATCAAGTTTCACTGGATCAAATTTCAGCACTTTAAATTTTCTATTGAAACCATAGGGATTTAAAGCACATGTTAAATCATGTTAAATAAGTAGGATCTCTATGCTGTAAGCCAGAATATGATCCAACAAAAGTGCTTACTTTGGCTGGGCTGTCTTTTGACTATTTCAGTAGAGAAAACTTTCATTTCATCAAGGGCAGAAAATGTATTTTCCCTTCTCCTGTCTCTCTCCCGCCCCTCTCTTTTCCATCAGGCTGTGGTTGCAAAAAAACCTTAGGACTTTGCTTGGACATTACCTTTGCACCTGTCCTTATTTGCATAAAAAAATCAATTGCTCCACTTACCTTGCCAAAGTATAGGGTGTGAACAAAATCTTAAAACTGTGTCCTGTTTGGACAAGTTGCATTGCCTTGGCAAAAATCCATAGGGTGGAGTGGCTGGGAGGAGGCAGGAGAAAAACTGTGTGACTTGTTAGCACACACAGAGAGTGGAATGTTTGCTTACTGGATCTTAGCTAATTATTTAGTCTCCTATTACATAGAACCAATGTTCTTTTATTTTTATAAAACATCATGATGCGGAACAGATATCTTACTTGTTTAAAAAACAAAACAAAAATCTATCATTTTAAACTGATGACCCAGATACTTGAAAGGGTATTTTTGGTTTGTTTTCCAAAATGAATGTTTAATTAAAAAAATAAAATGGTGGCCTGAATACAGAGTAGCAAATTTATTCACATATTGACAGTATCTGCTAGAGCTTCATTACTTGATCTGCAAAAAAGTTATTTTTAGTTGGGGTGGAGAGACCCCACTGGTTTACCTATCCCCAAAAGTATTTGCAGGAAAGACCCTCCCTTGTAAAATTATAGTTAATATTCTTACCATGTTCCAGTTTTACTTAGATCGCAATCTAGAAATGAGAAGATAAAGTTCTGCAACATTGCACATTCAAGGCTTCTTCATTCATCTCTGTCTTGCAGCTTCCTGGCTGAACAGCTGCTTCATTTGCTTTTTCAAATAAATGATTTTTCGTTCAAATAGCTTATTAGAAAGGAGATAAGATTTTGAACTTTAGACTGTGGTTCAGGTAAATACGATTTTGGAAAGGGGACCTTTACTTCTTATCTAGGACTTGAAAAGACTCTTTTGAGTGCTGGTGACTTGTTTGACTTCACCAAAGATTTATTTAAAAATATTTTACCATGTTAGCCATAATTATTTACCAGTGACGTCAGAGTTCTTATTATATGGTGCATGCAAGAATATCTGCTTAGGAGTACAACAACCTATCTTCCTGTGATAGGGATTTTGTTGTTTTTATTTTTAGGACATTATATTCCAACCAAAATACATTGCATGTAAGACTGTCTTTTCTTGCTAATAGTCACATAGAACAATGTATGTACTGGTGTTTCATGGGGATACTTTCACTACTATTTCCAGCGATACTTTTTCAAACTTTTTTTTTTTGGTGGAACAGGGTATCCATGGAACACCAGTTCAACCAATAGGTTTTGTCAAATAATGCTTGTACAGAGGTAAAATAGAGAATGATCTCAAGTTGCTTTGCTTTTGGAAGCTAACCCCAATTTGCTAAATTGCTAACATAGAAGTTTAAGTTAGAGTTCTATTCCTTGTATAACTCAGGTGGTTATACTTTCAAACACAAAACGGAAGTGCAAAAGTTCAAGCCTCTCTTAGGGGCTGAAAGTCTATTCGTTAAAGAATCTCTGTTACCAAGCCAAAATCTAAGCTACTGGCAGGCTCACCTTTTGAACATACTGGAGATTTGTAGAACACTATCACTATGTGTGAGCCACTAGGTATTATTTTTTTAGATATGCATTGAACAAGCACAATATTTTTCTTTAATATAGAAGGATGGCTTAGAGCAGGGGTCTCAAATTCGCGGCCCACGGGCCAATTGCCGGGACAGGCGGGGCATCGGGGAGGGGCCCTGCAGCCTTCAAAGTGCCGGCGGCGCCCAGGCCGGCCGCGGGATGAGCGGCCCACCACCACCGCGGTGGTGGAATACTTGATGCGGCCCAGCCTCACCCAGAGTCTACTTCCAGTGGCCCCCAGGTAAGCTGAGTTTGAGACCCCTGGCTTAGAGACATAGCACTTGTTTGCATGAAAAAGGTTGCAAGTTCAATTACTAGCATTTCTGGCTGAACTGTCCAGGGTAATGGGATTGCCAAATCTCTGCTTGAGACCCTGGTTAGCTCCTGCTAGTCATTGTGCCCAGTGCTAGACTAGGTGGATCATTAGCAGTCTGAATGTGTCACCAAACATTGAAGGATTGGCTCAACAAAGTGTGTGCCCATGGCAAAAGTAAATTGTGCATCAGAATGCTGCAAATAATTAGTATATGGAGTTGCATGTAATGATATCACTTTTTAGATTGTTCACAAGATGTTATGTGTCCCACAGCTGGAGCATTAAATATCTTGATCAAGCATGTGCTCATAAAATGTCTAATTTCACATGTTCCAGTCTTAACACCTATCTCTTTTGAATGACATATGAGTGCTCTTATTTCAAATGAATGCGGACAAAAACAGCTTTTCCAGTTTTCTTTCCAAGAAATATAGCAAATTTGCCCCATTGTACACCTGGTAGTTTCAATGCTGCCCTTTCTTCAGCAGTTAACAAAGGGTCTTTTGAAGAAGAGCTTGTAATAATCTGATTATAATTATTGTGACTGGAATTTAAATTCATTCATGTTGTTCCTTTTAATCTTGAGGTATTTTACATATTTATAACTCTTCCATCTTGCTTAGTTTAAAAAAATCAAACCTCAATTATAGATTTGCTTGCAAGTGTTAGATAATGCAGTGTGAATCTATTACATTTAGAATTTCTTTGGTACCTGCCTATCAATCTGGAAGAGAATCAAAATATTTTCTTTGCTTTCTTGGATGACATCCAGCAATGAATTTAAAAGTAATTTACTTCACTAAAGAATCCTATGCTTCCTTAAAAGTGAAATCTACCTACACAATAGGATTTATTTTTTTGTATATTTCTAGCGCCACCTATGGATACAAATTGACTCTGATCCTTAACAGCTGCACATTGTCTGGAACAGGATTGGCTTGCTTCAGGTATGGCATATTTTTCAGCACTTGGGGCCTTAACAAAAACACATCATGACCTAGAGTGCTGCAGATAATTTACTCATGAAGATGCATGTAATATTCATTAAGAGGAGATGCAGACAGCTGCAGCTGTGTTATACCTAGTCTGGTTTATGCTTACTTAGAGGAGCTCACTTTTAGTGTTAAAAAAAAAAACCCAACAATTTGGTTTTGCCTTTCATAATTCAGGATGTGGGTTTCAAGATCATAGACTGTGGGTGTTTTTTAAATTGTTTCTTTACTTCTAAGCCTTTAGGACCAGGGAGGGAGGTTGCTGCAGTCTATAGGAATTACAGAATTTAGAATTTCTCACTCTCCAGGCTCCCTGTCCATCTGATTACCAAATTGTAGTACACCCCCCTAGTTATTGGGTGGAACAGAAATAAAAATAATAATGATATTACTGTCATGGATTACAGACAGCTACATCTTTTCAGGTGTAAGAGAGTATTTCTAATACATCTCTCCACGGCCAAAATAATATTTAAGAGAAAAAAATTACATCACTTACTAATTCTTGAACAGTGCTCACCATGCTGCTTGAGGAATCCTTTGGGCCTAGCGAGTAATCCCTGTTCATGCTACTGAATGCTTAAGTCTCTGAAGGCCAGTGCCTTGCCTTTTCACATAGCCATTGCACCTAGAGGCCCCACTCTTACCTGTATTGCACAGTCTTTATACTAGTGAAACGTGTATGACAAGTCCTCCTTTTCTTCCTGTGCCTAAACAGCCTTAGCCAAGCTCATCTTAGCTGTTGCAGAGCTTGTGTCTCATGAACTATTCCCATTCATGCCTCTTTGTTGTCTGTTGCTCAGCAGTTCTTGGTTGGTTAACAGCTTTGTGTAAAGTTTTTCATTTTGTACAAGTGAGACGTTCTCTGTTCCTTATCCCTCATTCCCCTCCCTCCATCTTACCCTGCAGTGCAGTCACATTAAAATTAGTAATTGTAAGTGAATAGTAAATGTTATAATCCAGATATGATAGTAAGGAATTTTGTAGTAAAACACATTTCAGGTTAAGCAGTTCCCAGTCCCCAGTGTTCAGTCTTTGCTAGAGAGCTAGTTGAAGTTTTACTGCCTGTGGAAACAGAAAATAGACCCTCTGTGCAGTAGTTGCTTTATGTATGAGTGGAGGAAATGCTTGCATGCCAGTAATGGCATTTCTCTTTTATATCTGAGGTCTTTATACTACATCCAGATTTATGCCATGCACATATTTCTGTGTTCAGTTCTCATAATGCAGTGTTAGGATAATACCCCTGTGCTTCCATACATGTTCATGCTTTATAAGATTTTCTTAATAATACTTTATTACTGCTTTATGTTTAATAAGACACATGCATTGTCTATTAGAATGAATATTACACTCAGTGGTTGGTACTTCTAATATTTTTGTAAAGTAATGTCAATCTCACAAAATAAACAAGCATACTCTCTGCACACTTAAAACATTTCTCTGGTCTGCTGCTTGAAGACCACAGTCACACAGAACAGTATTTTGTTGTTCTCTCTTGGTTTCTTTCTTTCTTTCTTTCTTTCTTTCTTTCTTTCTTTCTTTCTTTCTTTTCTCCCCAGTTGATTTAGCAAGTGTGGCCACCATTCTGGCATGTCTAAGTAAGAAATTTGCATTGCAAATAACCAGAAAGAGCAACATGTAAAAGTGGCATCCTTTTTTTTGAACTAAATTGTACAGCTATGTATATCATCTTATTTTTAGTGATCACTATGAACATAATGGTTGAGTTGTCCTTCTTAATAAAAACTTTCTTTGTGACATAATTGCTACATTACTTTGAAAGTGCGATTAGCTCCCTTTCTGCTGATCCTTTCCTAATTTATTTTCCTCTTTTCAAAATATGATAGAATTTCTTCCTTTCCATGACTAAAAATAGTTGTTGCTGGTCATTACTTTGCTTCTATCATCATCTGAATATTTTGTTACCTCTGTTTTACAGAAATGTAAGCTGTAAATAACATAGTACTTACTAGATTTGTTGCTCAGTATGTAAACAATTAGGGACCTCTTTTACATTGGAATTATCATTTATGGACTCTAACCAGTTCTTAGTCTTAAATGGAGGTGGGGACAAGAAAAGTACACAATACTTTATGATACACTGCAAGCATAAAATTACACTGCTTTTCTCAGACCTCTTCTGCAGTGGTGAGGCTGTCCCAAGGCAATCAAGTAGAACTGCCAAACATATGGTATTTGCCTAGAGTTTTTAGTCTGGTTTTCAGCCCTAACTCTTCTGAGAGTTCTCAGTCTTTGCATCTAAAATGTGTGGCAGCTAATTTCATTCACATGCAAATCTTTGAGTGCTCATTGTGCCTTTAATCAGTGAGTCTGTAGCTTAAGTCAGCCTTTCTCAGCCTAGTGAACTTCAGATATTTTGGGCTATATATTCCAGCATTCCTGACCAATGGCTGCAGTGTCTGTGGCTGATGAGAAAAGAAGTCCAAACCAGCTGAAGGGTACTACATTGGAGAAGTCTGTCTTAAGCAGACCTTAGAATTGAAAACTTACCAATTCCAGGAGGAAAGCTATCTAATGTATTTCTTTCTGCTTCTCTATTATATTCCCATAAGGATGCTGAATATGAATTCATTTCAGGCATTGTTGACCAAGTGGTACAGGTACAGGCTTTCTAGCCAATAATATAGCAGCCACAAGATTTTTCCCATGATTGAGATGCATTGATACAAGACCATCTGTGGGCACCAAACATATGGATAACATCTAAAATACATTAATTGTAAGAAAGGGAAGCAAGAAGGAATCATGCTCATTTATTATGTCTGAATTAGTTATGGATATAAACTTTGGAGGATTAAGGTCTTTTGGAGGGGATATTCATACAGAAAAACAAGATCTTTATTGTTTATAACATCTTATATTTAATAAAGGTTTCAGTATGGTAAGACTGGGAACAAATTTCCTTTTATTACATTTTGATGTGTACAAGTGTCCATCTCTGCACTTACATAAGTTTGACTTGAAAGTGTTTTTAAAAAGGTATTATTATATTGCCTTTTCTTACTATTGATTGATTAATTAATTAATTAATTAATTATCTGAATATCTCATTTTTTGCTCTTTATTTTAGAGTCCTGGACAGCACCACTACAAGTAGAGTTGACTAAGAAGATGCTAATGTTTGATCCTGTCCCTGTCAAACAAGAAACGATAGAAACAATTCCAGGGGTCAGTATTTTTAAATATAAAACTGTCTTATTTTCATGGATTGTATTCTAGTGTGGTTATAATTAGGGACATGCAAGGAATCCTTTTGGAGGTAGGAATCTCTTGGATCCCTTGGGCTCAGCTCCCCATACTCCAGTCTGCTTTACAGTGGCCCTAAGTCCACATCCCTAGCTAGCACTGTCAGCATTTGTGGGACACCCTCAAGAACTCAAGCTCCATGCACTGCACAAGCAAAATGGCAGGGAAGAAGGTTAGTCACTCATAGTGAACTTCTTCTGCAATCTGCAGGTGTTCTTTGGGCAGCTGCACCTGATGGGGAACATTGTTGGTTGCACAAGCAGGGCTCCATGAATATTCATAGACTTCCTTTGGGTTGGATCACTTTGTAGGACCTGGCAGAGCATTAGAGAAAAGCCATGGATGCTAGAGAGATGTTTTCTTAAAGGGCCCATCTCCACCCTAGTTATAATAGTTTAGTAATTATTGAAAAAACTCTCTCCTTTTCATGAGGAACAATATAAGATTGCCATTTCTTCTAAGAACCACTGCTACTCATCATTCCTAGGCATATTAGCTAGAGACAAAGATAGGATAGCAATGTTTCCCGACTGGGGCCATTTCCTTTTACTTGCTTCTTAATCAACAGAAATTGAATTAGTCCAGTTTCCCATTCTGGAAAAGTAGTGATAGGAATCTCTTTTTTGGTTTTCTTCTTGGCTATTGGCTGCACGGAATTGAAATAAATAAAAATATTTCTGGTATGTAGCTGTTAAGGACAGAGGGCAGAAAAGTGGAAGCCATGTAATTTGATACATAACATCTGAGACTAGATATTAGATATTTCTTTTTCTGCATTTGGTGCCATTAGCCTTACTTGATTACTCATATTTTCATTTCATTTTGATGTTTGAGAATTTCCATCAGATCTACATAGAGGAGCATAGGAAGGAGCACCTTGGCAGAGTTTAAGGAAATAAACTTAACTCTAGGATGTTCTAGGGAAAGTTTGGTGCAGTAAATCTGTTTGCTATGCTTGCCTCTAGATACTTGGAAAATAGTTGCAAAGAGGAAAAATGAATAAAGGATTGTATTTAAAGCTTCCTGGTAGTGAGAAGCTTATACAATTAGATCATCTCTGTGTTTTTGCTACTGATATTCTGCCAGCAGTGGTTATGTAAGATGTAAGGGCCATTTTGAAACAGTTGTCATGGATATCTGTAATATTTGTTAGAAAGTATCCAAATAGTGTTCAAAGGATATGTTGTTGTTTTTATTTTTACTTTGCTGTAAAAATATTTGCAAGAAACCAATAAAGTTGTTTCTTTATTCTTTATAAAATTTAATGGAAATCCTTTTTGAAGTTGGCTTGAAACACATACTTCCATTATTTCACATTTATCTATCAAAAAAACTAACTATAGTTAATGAATATAGATGTTTCCTTAAGTGACCAGTGTAGGTCATTATGAACCAAAGCACTTCTTGATTTCTATGCCAAGAGGCAACTGCCATGTTTACTTCAAGTTTTCTGCAGGCTTATTTCTACAAAAAGGCCAAATTTTCTTGAAGCATTTTCCTAGAAGCAATTGAGAACCTACCTGCAGGTCATTATTGTTGCCTGTCCCTAACATTGCATATATACATAAAGCATTTGAGTAAGTGCTGGGGAAATGTAACACGTGAGCAAGTTTTTTCTAGTTCTTTGGCTGGCCATCTATAGCATCTTTATATTGCTTAATTTGAGTAACAGAGCAGGACAGATTGCATGAAGGGTTGGTGAGTAACAAAAAGGGGAATAAGCTTGTTCTACACACTTATTTAGCGCTTCATAAATGTCGGATCAAGAAGATAAAGAGCAGTGCTACAAGAATACTTCCTTTGCAACAGTCCACCTTCTGCCATAAGAAACCTGCTTTCTGTTACCAAAGATCATTGTTTACATCAGTATCACAGTGTAGCTTTTGCACACTGAGGTGACTGTGGCCAGTTTGCATTTGTTTAGTGTGTCTGAATTCAGTAAGCAAGAAATACGGAAATAAGAGAGAGTAACTTCGTGAATGTCAAATGAAAACAGGACAGGAAGGAACTGCGTATATTATGTGTAAAATTCTTGATCAGACTACATGAGTGCATTCATATTTGTGATAGAGTTTGTGCATTTACTTATATCATTTTATGTGGTCCGTGGGCTGGATAGGACAACATTCTAAGATCAGTTTTAAAAATTCATATAAAGGTTTTTTAGACTGCTTTTGAAAATGTTAATGTGACATTCATATAGAGATGATATGCGTGTAGCATGCTTTTCAAGTGAGAACATTCCACAACATAGGAGCTCACACCTGAAAGGACTTGCCCCTGGTACTGACAACTTAATTCCATCATTATGGAACTCCAAGCAAGTCCTTGTTAGATTACCTGAGTGTAGAGACTCTCTCTGAGGTACGAGAGTAAGAACAAAGCCGCTTTGTCCATAACATAAAATACATAAAAATAAAAAGTTTGTTTCTAACTGTAGTGTGTTTTATTATTCTTTACAGCCTTTATGGAAACTGAATACTGAGAATTTCCCTTCCCTCTTGCTAGTTTCATTATGAATATCATGGGTTAGAGGAGCATGAGAAATAGGTTGTTTTTGCTGCCAGCTTCAGGGTATAGGGAAAGTACATCAAAGTTAAGGGAGGAATGGTAAGGAGAAGGAATTGGTAGGCAAGCCCCATACAAAGGCAAGCCATGCAAAATGGTTTTTTCTTAAACATGTATAGTTGCAAGTTCATCCCATTGATTTAGTAGAACCTGATTCCTGGTAAGTATGTTTAGGGTGCAGTACAAGCAAAATGCCACTAGAGCATAATAATGAGGAGTTAGTTTAGCTACAGCAGGTTTCCCCAACTTGATACCTTCCTATGGCCATGGTGGCTGGGGATTATGTGAATTGTAGTGAAGCACACTTTGAGGGTGCTATGTTGGAGAAGGTTGAGTTTCACCCTAGAGATACAGTTTTAAAGGGTGTACACAAAGTAGCACAACACACCCAGACATTTTCTCATCTCATCTCAGACTAGGCAGTTATGGAACTATGTTGCTACACAAATGAGTGAAAACGAATTAGATGATCCAATTACTGTGTCACCTGAACTCCACCCTTTTCACTGTATGCAATGTCAGACTGTTAATGTTGTACTCTTACGTTGGACTAAACAATTTTTTGATACTACTAAAGTTGCCACAAAATCAGTTTGCAACACAAATAGTAAAAGCCAGGTGCCTTTGCTATGAATGTCCACTTTAGAGACCTACATGTACTTGAAAGGTAGGATAAAGGACATGCTTTAAATAAAATAAAAATAGAAGTTTTTACAAAGAAACAGAGATTACTTTGATTGAAGAGAGACTGCATGAGTCTTACTTATAAATTGAAGTTTTATCTGTAGTGCCTTCAAAATTCATGAGTTCTTAGTGATTAAGAACCTCTTTCATCATCACTGGATTTATGATATAGAGCAAGTTATGTTGGATTAACAGAGCATCCATTTCTGGGTGAAGATCACAAATGTCACCTGCTTGGCTAGACTTTGTCCTAGATGTGACAAGGAGAGAAATATAATGACTCCAGTTCAGGTTGACTGTATTGCTTTCCCACTTACATATCTTTGGAAAGCAATCTTAATCAGCACAAGCCTGACACACACACACACACACACACACACACACACAGTCCCTGGGTTGCAAACGAATTCTGTTCCTGAGAAAATGGAAATTTAAGTTGAATGCATATCTATCTTAGATCACATATAACCGTCCCTCCACATTTGTGGGGATTAGGGGCACAGGAACCACATGAAAGTGAAAAAAAAGTGAATAATTCTAGCCCCGCCTCACTGCCACCTGAGTGCCTGCTCTATGCACCAAGGAAATGCCAGAGATTCCCCTCTCTGGATGGGCAAGGCAGGAAGGCATGTTTGAAGGCCTCCCTCGCTCCCGTTTTGCTCCCTCTCTGTGGTGATGGCAATTTTCCCCAGTAATTTTTTAAAATTAATAGGCTTTGTGGCAGTTTGTAAGTACACATTTCTCATAACTCAGATGTTCACAACAGCCATTATATTTTTTTTAACAGCTTCCCTAAAGAATACACTTTCTGTATTTCTATAATATACTGTGTTCACGGAGAAGTAGGCAGAAGGTATATTTGTTCCTTGGAATAAGCCATGTTGGGTTGGTTGATGGCCAAATAGCCCATGGTATGCCCAACAGATGATAAGGTTGCTGGCTTCCACAGTCTTCCCACAGGTATCCCAAAAGACACTGCAGCAGTGTCACAATTTCACAATTCCACTGATAAAAGATTTGTCCTTACTATGCATCTAGCAACTTCAGCATACTTTTTTTTCTTTTCCTGTTTAAAGGAAGCACTTTACAACTTTCAAATTCTTAAGAAACTCTTATGAAAGACTTAGGGCTATTTCAAACTGAGGTCAGTCACGTTAAGTGAAAGCTCAGTAACTGAACCAGGATACGGGGGGGTGGGGGGGAGTACCCTGCTGCATTACTGTTATTTTGGCATTAAACAGTTTGCTAGTTTAAGCTGGATCTCTCTGTCTCTCTCCATTCCTCTCCCAGAGCAAAATGCAAAACACAGCACTGGAGTGTACAAGTGGCCAACAGTATGAGAGTCAACACTAGTTGGCTTTACCCTAGTTACTAGCTCCTTGCATCTCACTACCCGGGGAAAAAGTGGGCAAGGCAGCAGTGCTGATGTCACAAGGAGAGGGTGGGGAAGCCTACCAGGATTGGTCTAGGGACAGTCCAGCCCTTGGACCAAAAGAGATTGTTCTCCTACCACCAGCCTTGAACAGCTACATGTTTCTTTAAATAGCAATGTTTTTGCCATTGAATTTATGCAATACCATCATGTCAAAGGGATGACCTCTTCATGCTGAACACCGTGAATTTGGTACTGAACACTGAAGACTCTCTTAGGGGGTTTCTCTCTTGGCTGTAGCAAAAGTCAGCAGCGACGTTTTGTGGCATTGTTAAAGATTAGTCTTCTGTCAAATGGGATCCATCTAAGTGAAACTGCCAACCTGGTTACCGACCTGCATATCTATGGATTGTTAAATGTAAGGCTGAGAAACATGGGAACCGGGGAGCCAAAAAGCCATGAAAGGCAAATGGTAGATATAGAATTTCTAAGCACAGTTCAAATGTGTACCAGATGAGAACTGCAATTCATTTACCCTATTAGACCTTAAGATTGTACTGTTTTTCTAACTATACTATGCTAAATTAAAATTAAATTTTTCAGGTAGCAGAGCATAGCTATAAAGTTGGCATTCTTATAAGGACTGCTGTTGTGAATGTGTCATTCTAGTCTTATGCTGAATCCTGCATAGAAGGGTTTTTTTCCTATAGACTGTGTAAACATTCATAGAATTCGTCAACCTCAGAGACAACTGCATGCATCTGCAAAATGGACTCCAATCTATAAATGGTTCTGCTGCAAAAATACATATATATTTAAAATACCTGAAGACTTAAATTAATTATTGCTTAAATGCTATTGTACTGCATTTTTTTCAAATAAACAGCATAGTTAAACCAGAGCAAACAGAAACAGTTAAACTCAGATATCAGAGTAGCTTTTGTGCTTGCTCTCACTCTCTTTATCTGTAATTGTAGATAATCATTCCTTTGGAATGCATTCCAGTTTAATGCTTTTGCTTGTAGTGCTATAATTTTGTCCAGTTACTGACTGATGCTCATAGGGTTGCAAATTACATGTGCTTTTATGTTAATAGTTTAACTTGCTAGAAGTGCAAATTTATCTCTCCTTTTTATTTATGAGTTACATGGCATCCTTTTCATGTTACCCTTTTCTCATTACCCTTTTCTGTTCATGATTTTCTCCTGGAAATGTGCAGTTCAGTAGAAATATGAGAAAGAAACCTTGTCAAAATATGCAGTCTCTTCAGACTGGCACAAAAGCAGCTGACTTAGGCCAGTTGTGTGCCAGCATAGCTGCACACAATGAAAATCTTTTCTTTCAAGCTGCTTGAGTCACTGAACAAATCCCTGGCATATTTAATTTTGTGTACTTTTTATGCTTAAGATTTAATAATTTCCACCCAAAGTCAGTCTTGGGATTCACTTAAATACTCAATAGCTATCATAGCATCTGGAGTAAATAAGGTTTCTTATTTAGCTTGCACATTTCATCTAAACTGCAACCTTTAGAAAAATGTTGTGATGTGTTAAATTATAGCTCAGAGATGTGTCTGACTATAGTTTTGTAAATTGTTTTGAACATAGCAGACAGTGGCCCTAAAAATGCCTATAAGGTATATTTTACTAAAAATCAGTGGAAATTCCATCTTATAGTCATAAATGCAGTGAAAGCTAAAACTGCATGGCTATGTATGTAGTTTCACCCTAAGCATGTTTAATTAGAAGTAGCTTCCACTGATTTCAAGTACATATGATTAGGATCATAACCTCAATTAAAATGGAGAAAAGGGCTAACTTGATACAAGATACTTAATGAGCATAGTTTTCGTTTGCTTGTAAGTCCATTCTTATATTTCTAGGAGGCAGTATGATTTCAAACTTCAAAACTGGTGAAAATTATCACTGCTGAGATACAAGTTGTGCTTTTAGAAGGAACCCTTCTGCAATTGAAACTGAGCTTCCATCAATGGAAGTTCTCTCCATGAATGAACCAACAACACTGGCTCCCACTGTTCCCCTCCCTTGAGCTACTTAGCGCATGAATGTCTTTTTGTTGTATGCATATTTGAAAATGTCTGACATTTCAGTTTTCAGTCATCCACACTTCAGTATTTGAGTGGCTTGTACTGATGCAGCTGCAGTTACATTTTATATATTACTGGTAGGGTAAATTTACCTTGCTATTATGTTCCAAGTTGTATTCCTTTAAAAAAAAATAACCCAATAGCTTGTAGGTTAAATTGACATTTTCATAATATGAAAGACCCTCTTCAATTCTGGGGGGTTGTTTGTTGTTGTTACATTGTGTTGTAAATGAAAGATTAGTTTAAATGTAGCATTAGATTCAAAATTTGGATTCAACATTTCCGGCTCCTGTGACAGTTCGAATGGGATTTGTCTCTTCTTACTCAGAGTTGCCACAACTCATCCCTGCTTAGTTCTGAGCCATGTAATTATGCTTCATATAGTGCCATTTTGTCACTGCAACACTGGCATTCAATTGTATGGTGTTGTGATGACATTCAGGATTAGTTTGTCATACTTGTGCCATTACCTTTAGTGTTTACTTACCTTTCAGTAGCTCATAGTGCCGGGCCATAAGAAATTCTATTGTATTTAAGCTGAGTAAAAAAGTATTCTAGGAATCCCCCTAATTTTGAACTGCACCTAATTAAGAGAATTGTACAATATTACCTATCAAAATGTATATACCTAATTATGAATACTTAATGCTAGGGCACTGGAAAGCTCTGTAGGCCATGTTCTGTAAGATGGTAATACAAGAATTAATTCAGTGCGTATTGCTACAGCTTAATATTGTGTTTGGTGCACACAGCTATGCTTTAATTGGCAAAGCTCACCTGATAGCACAAGCAACAGAGAACCAGTGTGCAATCCAAGAGATGCTTCTCAGGAGAGGATTGTTGTAGAGAATTCTACAGTGCACCACTTGAATTGCACAGTCTCATGGAGTGGCTTGACCCAACCTGGTGATTGGTCAATGCTTGGTACCCTTAATAGCTAATTTTCCTTAATCATTAGCCTCAGAGCACTCAGAATTTTAAAAAAATAATCTTAATGTCCTTGCCTCACAGTACAGTAGGCTTTAACAGGCATATGGTGAAGATAAGTGAATAAGGGATAATTTGTTGGAAAAAACAAAAGCACTGAAATGTTGAGTTCTAGAATTTATTGGACAAATGGCGGTTAGAATTTACATAAACTGCATACTTGGATGTCAAAAGGTAAGCCTCAAGTAAAAGTTACTTTCACAGAGGGGTCATGGTTTTGTGTAACATTTATTCTTAATAATGGTTATGCAATTAAAAATTATGATGGTGATGGTGATGATGAAATTTTCTTTTTACATTGAGTGATCCAGAGAACAGCAGCACAAGGATTACATCCAGTCAGTTTTTCTCCAGACTGTTATAACTCCTCAATATTGTGCCACAAAAACTTTCCTGTTTAGTTGTTCCAGGAAAAGACGGAGAAGCTTTCTGAGGGCAAAACCTTATCAGTCTGAGCACAGTGCCTTGGGTCTTAACATTAGCTACCCCACAAACAAGACTGCTTCACATTAGAATTAGAAGTGGAGTTTACTTAGTTCAAAATTTCATAGTCAGGTCTAAGTTGTAAGCCGCCCCGAGGCTTCGGCAATGGGTGCGGCATAAAAATGTTATAAATAAATAATAAGTTGTGATATTCATCAAAAGATACTGGACAAATCCTAGTTTCTGGTTTACAGTAAAATCAATTCTGTGTTGCAGCACAGGCAATGAACTTGAGGAACCATTCCGGAGATATCTATAGGCCATCCACTGTAGTGCAGCATGCTTTCACATAATTGCAATTATTTGTTTGTTTGGTTCAGTTCATTTTAAAAAATACCCAAACAGATTTTAATTTAGGTCCCGGTAGAATTCAGGTTTAAGATGATCCATAAATAATATTTTGTAAAACATATTTTTGCACATTTGTCTCCTTGGCTTCCATTTAATCTTTTTCTTCTCCTTTCCTTCTCTTTTCATACAGTCATTCAACTCTAGTTACATGGACCACCTGAAGCCCAACAAATACAGTGTCATTTATTCAACACCAAATATGATGCCCAGTAAATTCTACCAGATTCCAGAAGGACTGTGCAATGAAGTCCAAATGGAGCCTGTCGATCTCACAGTGAACAAGCTGCCTTCAGCTGGAAGTTCTCCTTCTCCTCTGAAATTTCAGACTGTACATAGGAGACACTCACCTGTATTAAATCTTCCCTCTACCAGTCCTCCAATGAAGAAATTGACTCCCCCAGGAATACAGCCTTTCAGTATGCCATTAGCTATTCCTCCAGTAATGGCAGCTCTTTCACGCCATGGACTTAGAAGCCCGGGGATACTTCCAGTAATACAGCCAGTTGTAGTACAACCAGTCCCCTTTATGTATGCCCCTCACCTTCAACAGCCTATTATGGTGTCTACAGTTCTTTCAGATGAGCTGGAAAACCCAAGTAGCATGCCAGGTAAAGGCTTTTTCTTGTGAAATTTGCCTTCACGTTTCTCATGATTGGAAAATAAATAGAAATCCAGTGTTCTTCCAATTACCATAAATGCAGGACAAAATTCGGTGCAATTTATGCTTTTACAAAGTGATGGAATGAAAAGGGGGTTCAACTCCCAGTGAAACAAAGCAGTCTAATGATTATAAAAGATCTTTAGGCTAATTCCTTTGACTCTGCTTTACTTACTTCACAGTTGTTGTTATGATAAAGGGAGGGAAGAAAAAGAAAAACATATATGTAGCCCTGATTGCTTTGGAGGAAGTGTGATTAAAAAATGTAATAAAGGACAGTATTACAAATAAGTCCACAGAACGGATTAACTGATTAATACTAGTTATTGCTTGTATATTAAAGCTCTAAGTAAAGGGAGAAAGAAAGATCCAACCCTCTTTAAATTTATAAAACTTCTGTGTTTGCTTGCCAGGGGAAAATTCTTTATTAACAGAGGTAAAACAAAGTGAATGGCTGTTTACATAGTTCTCTATAGCACAGCGTCATAGTACAATGATAGAGTTTTACACAAATGTAAAAATATAATTATTTTTGCAGATAAATTTTATAGAAGAAAATGGAAAAACAAAATGAAAAACAAGTCTGGAAACTTACTATGTCTTTTTCTGCTTTGCGGGGGTGGTTTGCTTGTAGTACCGGTTATCGAATCTTATGAGAAGCAAGCACTAAAGAAATCTATCAAGGTAGAGCCAGGCTTGGAATCACCTAGAAATGACTACTATCCTGAACAAATCTCCCCTCCGCTGATGACCTCATTGTCACCCCCTCAAGCAATGCTTCAAGAGTAAGTAGCTAATGGAACCCTAAAATTTCTCAATATCTTAAGGCACAGTCCTATGCATATTTAGACAGTAAAAAGTCCTGCATCTTCTACAAGCTGATTAAGACATGCTGAGAGTTGTAGGACCTTTTTCACTCTAAACATGCATAAGATTGCACCTCCAGAGACTTTAAAAATATCCTTTGGTACCTGGAAAAAAGAAAACATGTTACAGTTGTTAGAAGAATACACAGAACCATCCTGAATCTAGTCCGATTTTCTTCATTCCCCTCTGATGTTTCATTAATGCAAGAAAATTGCAGGGTGGTGGTGTGGAGAAAGTGCACTGTGAAGCTTAGTGTTGGACTGGGAACCCCCTTCAGCCATAAAGCACAGTGGGTGACTTTAGGCCAGTCACAAACTCTTAGCTTAACTTACTGCACAGGATTTTTATTGTAAAGATAAATGGAGAGGAGGGAGATTATGTAAGTCATCTTGGGCTTTTCACAAAATGAAGAATGGTGAAATATAAATGCAAAGTAATAATAATAATAAAATATTCAGAAAGCAGACAGATGTAGCACCTTCCTTTGCGGGAAATGTGTTGGGTGCTACAAGGTTTCACTCTATTTCATTTCAACAAAGTGTTTTTAATTAAACTTTGCGGGGCGTTGTTTTTGTTGGGATTTTTTGCATGTGGGGTCATAGAGACTTTTAAAATTTTATCAAATTGGGTGTAGATCCTGGGGCCTTACCCTGTTTGCCTCTATTGTGTGCCTTGATTATCTTTGTTAGATAATCTGACATTACTTGTTTTGATGGGTGGTTTCTCCTTTTAGCAGAGGTTTGCCCAAGGTGGCTTTTGATTCTGGTTAAAGTTTGTATGAAATTAACCATACTGCTCACATGCTCTGCTCAATTCTACTATTTAGTGTTATTAAGTACCAAAAGCATCCATTGCTGATTGGGCTCAGTGTTACGGCAATCACCAGTGGAACCTTTGACATGTGGATAAGTCATGCCCATTTCCTTCCCACATTGGTGCTTGCAGCCGCATGCTATCCTATGTTTTAAATTTTTTCCATTTGCAGATACTACACAGTCACTTCCTGCAATGCTTTAGTTCCTCTTAAAAAAAAGAATTGTAGTTCTAAAAGCAGAAAACAGAGGTGGGACTTTCTGCTTACTAACTACTTAGGAGCAGTGAGGGGCAACTGTCTGCCTTTCCCTGAACAGTTATTCAGAGTTGTCCCACTGCTATTGCCTGCATTTAAGGAGTCTCAAAAATTGAAAGCTGTTCAGCAGGGCAAGTGCTACCATAAGACATAGTGATGCAGCTGCTTTAGGTGGTAGATGTGGGGACAGCAGTGGCACCTGAATGCCCCCCACTGCCATTCCTTTTTCTTGGAAAACAAAGCTGTGTGTGCTACACTACCTCATTGCCAATGATGACATAAGATTCAACTACCAGTCTAGTTGCTTCATGAAATGGAAGGGACACCATTTTGTCCTGTTCCTCAAGCAACAAAATGTACTGGACCAGACCTGTTGTTGATTGTGTAGTTTACACCTTGAATTTGATTCCTTTCAAGCCTGCAAAACATTTGAAGGCAACTTCAAATAATATCCAGTCATATGCAACACAGACTAAAATCTTGCTTTACAGGAAACACAGTTTTACACAGGCAACCGACACAGCATAGGCTTTGAAAGTGGGAGCATGACAGTGTGGTTAAACAAACCACAACAAAATGATTTTATGGAAGATAATGTTACACATTTCAGAAAACCCATACATTGTTTAGAGAACACTTATATTCATAAATACCTATGAAAACTATAGCAAACTACAACAGATTGCATTTAGTGGAATTATGAATAGTAAAATAGTAAACCTTTAATTACACATTTTGTATTGTATGACTCTAACCTAACCAAATATATACACATTGCCAGTGCTTTTTGTCTACCGTGAGGAATGTTTGCATTGAAAGGGGGGGAGGGGGGAGTTTACTGGTAACTTTGGGAGGGGGGTGGAGTTTACTGGTAACACCATTAATTATAGTTGTTGTCAGTATAAGTAAATGTCATTAATAACAGCAGAAACAACAGCTGTAGTCTATAAATCAATCAATCAATCAAAAAACAGTAACTGTAGTCTTATTATTGTTAGGAGAAGTTATACTTGCAATCATTTACCTCTCTAAAAACATAACCAATGGAAAAAAGCATACTTTTAGTGTTATTGACCCTTGGTGATAACAAGGTCTGAAGAAAGAGGATTGGAACTCTTCGGGTCATTGTCATTTACAGCTGAGTCTGCCTCCTCCAGTTTTCCAAGGGCTGAAAGTTTCCAAATTTCAGTTGTTACACATTAGGTTGAGCGATTTTTGTTGTAAGCACTTGTGCCAGTGGGACACAGGCAGAGCAATCCTATGGCCATGAGTTTTTCAGATCCCCAGTTCCAAGATCGGAAAACTGCTCTGACCTCAGAGCTGGGGATCCATGCTCAGTTCCTTCTCCCTGCTCACAGCTAGCACAGAAAGTAGCACTGCTGTGCCAGGTACTTCTCTGAGACTGGCAAACCTCAGTGGTTTAGTGGACATTTCAGAGAAATCACCATACCTGCTTCACTGAATAGGAGCAACTCAGAGATGACCTTTGGGTGATTACAAGCATCCTCACTGGCTTGTGCCCTAACCTACTTCTAAATTGGATGCTGATAAATTTGTATCTCTGTATTTTAAATATACTTACAAGTGTTAGGTATTTTGAAAATGCTCAGTATTATTTAAGAATCTATATGTGGGACATTGAGCTTCACATAACATACAAAATGTTGAAAAAGCAAATTACATTTTGTTGCAATTACTGCACATGAATGGGCTTATTTTCATCCATTCTCAGTATCTTATTTAATAGGAACTAATCCAAAATTTGTGTTTACAACTGTGGGCTGTGTGATCTTTGCACTTACTAATTTGTTCATCTCACCTGCATAGTACCTTCCAGGATCCAGGCAAGGAAACTTTATTTAGGGAAACCAGAGAGATAATTTCAGACATCCTGCGGGTGTGACACATGTACATGCAGTCTAAACACCTCTTTTAGGAATTGACATCAGTGTAAAGGGAAGGCACACCCTTTTGCCAGTCCCAAACAGGACATTCTTAATTGGTCTCTAAAGGAGTGGATGAACAGTAAAGCCTCTTGAGTTCCACTTTGTAAGGCAAAAGAAGTGATGTATTTAATAATTTGAATTCATTTTTTATTTTCTGAACAGTAGGTAAGTATGTAAATAAAAGCAATAGAAGTTCATTGGAAGCACAAATGAGACTTTGGAAAAACTGAGTCTGCTTGTCTCGGAAACAAGAGTTGACTCTAAAAAATAATGAAAAATGTATTTAACAAGTTATGATTTTTTTGGTTTTGTTCATTCCACAGAATGAATAAAAACCTCAACAGGGAAAAGAGCCAAACTATTACCACTAAAGTCCATGAAATTTGCTAAGCTTGCTCAAATTTTTCCACATGTATGTAATGTTGTTCGTGCTGCCAAAAGACAGAGGGGTATTGAATAAAGGAGCTCTGTGGTATACCATAAAGAAAGATTTAGCTCAGAAAATTTTATTTTCGACCTGTGATTTGACTTTATGCAGGAATCACCCTTCAGTTATAGTTCAGCCTGGAAAGAGGCCTTTACCTGTGGAATCTCCTGACACACAAAGGAAGCGTAGAATACACCGATGCGATTATGAAGGCTGCAACAAGGTTTACACTAAAAGCTCCCATCTAAAAGCTCACAGAAGAACACACACAGGTATGAAATGAAACAGAATTATGTTGCACCCTAACCCCACTTGAGTGCTAGTGGTATTATGTTGCCTTATACTAATTTATGACACCATAGTTCTGGACAAGGGTCCTTGTACTGAGCAAGAGAAGGGAAAGAATAAGTGCCCCAGCTCTGCTTACGGTATGCTGCAAAGGTCAACATAAATATGTGTGGGCCACTTTAATTAAAAGGATTCAGGATCTTCTGGGTTGTAGGATAACTGAGCCTGTCCAAATTGCTACTTGAGCAGCTACAGCTTAAATCAGTCTGTAGAATAGACTTGAGGAACCTATATAATTTCATTGAGCTGAAATGGGTTTGTTCAAGCCATTGAGATCACAAAGCAACATGATTGTGGCCCTGTCTACCTTTTAACTAGGTAAGGCTAGTGCTGCAGAAACAAAGTGAACACAAGCTGCTGCACTATTGTCACACCACACACTTTATCATGTGGCTGCCCAGCTTATGTGGCTGCATGTCATGGCAACACAGCTTGGTCCCAATGGTAGTGTGGAAGTGGTGTGGGAAATGAGCAGTGATGTGATCAGTGGTTGTATTTGCTTTTGCTACAAGGGTAGCTCAGATTGAGTCCAGCCTACCACTCTTATTTGTGCCAAGGAGTTGTTTCTTGGTGTAGGTAAAATATCTTGGTGTAGGTACCTCCCCATCTTTGTTTACAGTGCAGGCCTATCTAGGTTTCTTTGGGAGCAAGTGTCATTATGTTCATTGTTTCCTAGTTGGGATGCATAGGAGTGTAGCCAATTTATTTTCTTCTGCTTCTCAAAGTAGTAGCTGGCTTATTTTGCTACTTACCAAATGGTGAGTCCATGGAATTTGCACTACCACACTCTTCTACATCATCACTGAATTTGTCCAGATAAACTGCATTATTTCTAAATAACTCATATCCCATTTTAGTAAGGTGGTGTCCCCTGAAAGGCAGGTTAGCTCTCTTTTCATTAAATAAATTGATATTTAGCAAAATAGAGAATTACTAAAGGGTTCTACCACTATCTAGATTAGAAATTCACTTTTTCTACCTGTGTCAAACACACCAACCTTCAGAGGACCTGAAAGGACATGAATACTTCTTACCAGATCTCCAGCTCCTAATAGAAAACATGTCTTTGGGTGGAAAAGATACATACATCCAGCTGAGCTCTAGTAGTGAATGTACTCATTGTGTGGGATTGTACCATAGGGAACATGGCTCCCACAGCATTGCAGGAGTATATAATGAAGTGTGGTATTTTAGAAAGCTATAAATAAAATATCCAGTAAGATTTGGCTCTCCCATGCTTCTTCAACTCAAAAGGTTATCTTTGCACACGACTGGACCACTGTTTGTATTATTTTCTGGATTATAAATAGAAGACAGGTGTGGCAGACTAATTGGCAGGAAATATGCTCCCAATATTTTCTAAGGCATATTTTAAATCCAGGGGAGCATATTTTATTTAATTCTCAGCATTGTAGCATCTTTTCTTTTATAAAGTATCCTGTGTGTTGTAAAGAAGATACAAGGGTTTGTAATATATAATAAAAGCAGTGCTCTAAAAATAGTCTTTCTTTGTCCTCAGGTGAAAAGCCTTACAAATGCACTTGGGAAGGTTGCACATGGAAATTTGCTCGATCTGATGAACTGACACGGCATTTCCGAAAACATACTGGAGTCAAACCATTCCAGTGCCCAGACTGTGATCGTAGCTTCTCTCGCTCTGACCATCTTGCTCTTCACAGGAAACGCCACATGCTAGTCTGAAAATCTTTTCATTCAATTTTCTTCATTATTTCCTTTCTTTTTATTTTTAACCTGTGCATTTTAATTTGGATTCAGCTGGCCTGAATCTCTGGATTTATAGCCTCAAAACCTTCCCTATGGTCAGTAAAAGATGTTTGCTTGACCCTTCTTTGCCCTTGCCACGGGTCAGTCCTAAGAAATGTGAATATTTTTTTTTCCAGGGGATGCTAAGCAAACCCTACTTGCCAGCAACTAGATTAAATTTTTGAGACTAAAATCAAGCTGGTTAGTTTTGCCATTTAATCAGCTAGCGTATGTTGATCATATAGTTACTGTTGGAAATCCAGCCTGCTAATCCTTGCCAGAGACGCTGTGTGTCCTGTAAAGGATGTGTGTCTCCTTTTTATGCTCAGCAATGCAATGAATGGATCCTTTCCAGTGTGGTTGGTTGTCGAAGCATGTTCCACAAGACACTTTTTGGATATTAAAAAAAAAAATCAAGCTAGGAGTGAATGAAAAATTGACGAGTGGCTGTTATCAGAAATTTTGTCAATGCATAACGTTGTACATACTTACCAACATTGCCTCTCTTTTGATCGTTGTTGTGTAGAATGCTAGCTTGTGTTTGCCTGGAGATAGTGCCTCAGTAGATTCATTAAGCAAACACCTTCATGTGATGTCATTATCTATGTTTTATGTGCAACTGTATGAATGGAACACACATGGTACTCCTATGATGTGGGATTCAATGATACATGCAAAGATCTACCTCACTGAGGAGGTGTGGTAGGTATAGTCTTCTCTCATCACTCCTCTGTATTTCCAGTTGTGTAGAAGGCCTCTAGCCTTTGCTTGGCAAAAATTTAATCAAGTATTTTAGTAAAATGAACCCAGTCAGCTCACTATTAGAAGTTAATTCCATCACAGACACTACTATATTTAGAATAACAGATATTCATGGAAGAGAAAAATCTTAAACAATTCTATACAGCTCAACATTGATCAAAAAAAAAATTCACAAATGGAAAAGATACACTTTGATCTCTCTCTCATGGGTCGTGTTGGCCTTATAAGCCAAGTTCAGCGGGAGAGCTTCATGAAGTTCTTCAGGAACTATTTTGTAAGAGTCCACCTTCATAGAATAAGTGATTAAATACACATAAAAGATGTGCTTTTTAAAAATCCAGCATTCAGTATTCTCTAGAGGTGCTATTTATGTACAAAGAAAGAAAGAAGACCTTTGCTTTGACACTGGCCCCCCATGTGTTTCTTTGTAGTCTCCAGGCTCATATTAGAATTCAGCTTTCATATTAACAGCATAGGAATAGCTGGTCTGAATTAGGCAAAGAATTCTCAGTTCTCCATTCTGTCCCCATTGATAGTGGCTGATCAGATACCTGTAAGAAGTCTACAAGTGGGTCATGAGTGCAATAACAACTTCCCACCATATTACCCAACTAGTATTGAAGTAATAAATAGCCAACAAGGCTAGGAACCATTGATGGCCTTATCTTTCATGATTTTGTCCCCAACTAAATCAATGGCCATCGTTACATCCTGAGGTAGTGAATCTAACATTGTGTAAAGAAGAGCTTCCTTTTTTCTGTCCTGAATCTCTCACTGTTCACATGCTCCTGGTTCTAATATTATGAAATAGAAAAACTTACCCATATTCACTTTCTTCACAAGATGCATAATTTTATGCACCTCTATCATGCCTCCCACTCCACTTGCCTTTTTTCTAAGTGAAAAAGCCTCAGACATTGTAGTCTTTACTCATAGGGAAATTGCTCCAGACCCTTTATCATTTTAGTTGCCCTTTTCCACTGTTTTCCAGCTCTACAGTGTAAAGGGAAGGTTAATAGAACAGCAGCAGCAATAACAGAAAGGAACAAGACCTCAGAATGTGCTAGGAAATACTTTATGGAAATTAACTACTGTAATCAAATACATTTCAGGTAAATAATGTTTCAGGGGCAACTTGGCTTATTCAAGACTACAAAGTAGTGTTTGTTATATTTTCCCATAGACTGTGTTGGTCTTCAATAGTTCATGTCTATAAACTATTTTCTAGCACTTTGTGTAGTCCTGTCTTTTCTTCTGCGTTTTAAAAATAATTTTACAGCAAAGGTTCTCTTTACCTCTCCCCACTGAAACCAAGGTAACTTGTTCACTTTAGCTGCATCATACCTATTGTTTTTGCTGCCAAATGCTGCTTTTTCCTAGTCTATGCCTTGTATTATTTTGAAAAAAATAAGTTCATTGCATAATTATTATACAAATATGAGTTGATTGAAATGACTTCACTTCTTGAAAGTTCCTACATTATTGTTACTGAAAGGAAAATAATCACAGAAAATATCAAAAGATTGATATGGAACTGTTGCCACTTAATTTCACAAATATGAAGCACTTGTGGAGCAGGCTGTTGAGTCCCCAAAATATTTTTGTTGCACACTGCAGTTATAAAACATGCAGAGAGATGAAGCAGTGTAGTGATAACTTGATGTATTTCTAGTGAAAAAAATGAGAAGAAATGAGTAGGGGTGTTTTTTTTTTCAGTTTACTGAACTTTAAAGCCAAAGCCAGAGTTACTTGAAATTTAACCTGGTTAGCTATCTGGAAGTGCTTCTGATAAAATTTATTCTCTCTGCTCCAGAAAGTGAACTGGTATACAAATGAGTATGTTGCCTAGTTCAGTGAAATCTGTAATCTGTATATATAATCCAGCTGGGGAGTGGAGCAAAGAGGAACCAAAAATCTACAGCTGAACAGTCCTTTCATTAGAACCAACAAAAAATCCATAAAGAACTGTTAATGCAGTCTTGAGTAGCATTTTAGTTAGTCCTAATAAAGGTACTGGCCACCTTTGGATTTTGAACATGTTATTCATGGACCAATGTGGCTACCTATGTTTTGTCTGTATGTATGTTTGCTTGTTTCACAGTCAAAACATTAACAGAAACAGAAATTTTCAAAACCAGCCTGAGACTCCTAAGAACAATTCCATCAAAATTGTGCCACATTTTGCTTTTCTAAAAGCAGTTTAAACCAGGATTAATTTTACTGAAGCATTTGCAGCCCATTCTGTAAATGGAACAAAAGTCTGTTTTAGTTTCTGTGGTAGTGCCAAGCAAATCTGGAAAATACATTATTTTATATTGTGTGGATACACTTGAACTGCTCTGTTGCTAACATGGAAAAAATGGAGGAGACTTGATGAGGTTTCTAAGTGTCTGGAACTCAGGACTGGGAAGTGGAGAGGGAAGAGAATCATACCTTATTCAACCACAACCATTCTTTAAACTGATTGTTTTGAATCTTTCTAAAAATAAACAAGAGTTTGACTGAGATACAAGTTGCTGGCATGTATTGAGTGACTGAAGATGAAGCCCCGTGAACACAGGCCACCAATCCTGGGTATCAGCGATGTCTAAAGTAGAGCTGAATGAATGTTATTCCATTCCAGAAGTTTAGCTGCACTTGGCTCACAGTGCCTTGATTGTAAATCCATGCACTGAGAGCAACCACTTTATGAGTTCTTGAACGTGTTTAAAGAGAAATTCATTTGTAGTTCTGTCACACTTGATCATTCATTAAAATATTTTTGAAGTGTGTTTAAGGGTTTTAATAGTACATCTGAGCTTAAATGGTTTAATAGTAGAACATCATTTGTGTTTATACCATAAAATACCAAAAGAAAACTCAGTTCCAAAATTCTAAATTATTAGCAACGCTCCACTATGAAGCAGTCTATTTATTTTTTATTCTCAGCAGTGTAAGAGGTAAAGGGTATACTTGTCCTATGATAATGAAATACCTTTTAGAGTGGCCTATTAATGCCACATCAAATGTTAATTATATAGCTGGCTAATTAAGTCAAATGCTGTTACGTGGTTCTGTCTATATATTTAATGTGTCCATAAATTTGGCATCATGTGTTAAAGGAGCAAATTGCTTTAAAATGTGGATGTAAATTGTAAATAATTATGTTAAAAGAACTGAGGCTGGATTTTGGTGAGCTACTTTAATAGGGTCAAGGGCTAGTACAGGTGGTGAGATTTTAAATTTTACATTATCATTTTGCTAGCACTAATTTAAATGAGGAATAACTGCTCTGTTGAAGCCCAGGCTATTTTTCTAACCTCCCTGTTTCAAAAAAATGGATTCCTGTGTAGTTGGAGACAGAAAAGAGCTACTGTTTAGAAAAACCAGAAACTAGTGACATACTTTGAACCTTGACCATGAACTTTGGGTTGACTTTGAAGGTTTCCTCCTACTTATCAAAGGGTCTTTCTCCAAATCAGAAATAAATCCTTTAGATCCAATGATACATTTCCATGTATCTAAGATGGTCAGCTGCAGTCCTAAAAGCCCTTACACTGGAGTGTAACTCTCCAAATAATGCCTGCTAGTGAGTTCCATAGAAAAAATATTGGGAAATGGGTCTGGCAGTAGGTAGTTGCTGCTCCCAACGATGAGGTAAGGTTCTGCTGTCATTTTATACTATAGTATAGTATACATACTATATATCTCAAGGCTGAAGACAAATCTGCTTAGGTAAGGATAGAAAACAGCTTCACAGGTGCAGGGTCTTCCTGAAATCTAACATGGATTCTAGCATATGTCCTGAATATACCAGGAAATGTAGACAAACCCACTGCACAACACAGGAAGCTTTAATGACTCCATAGTGTGGCTTTTGGGATAATGCATTCTGCTTCTTGTCTTTTACAATTGGAAGAGGATATGTAATTGTAATTACATATTAATTAAAATGCAAGAAGGATATGTAATTGTAAGACAGGAGACTTGGACTATGGGACGTGTGTGTTGGGGAGAAGTTTGCAAGTGAGAAAAGCCCTCTTGCGATTGGGAAAGCAGTATGCAGTCCAAAGATTACAAACAAAACATGTTTCTAAATGTGTGCACTAATGATATTGCACTGTACAGGATGCCGCTTTTAGGCTACTGTTTTAATGAACATCCCATTAAACAGCATTATTAGGAAATCTGTCTTTGCAGTTTGGATTGTTTGAAGTTAAAACTGTATTTCTGTAATGCCATTTTAAGTATGCACTGTAGTTCTGTTAGCACATATCCAGAGAGAGAGAAAAGAGAACCAAACCAAATCTTATAATGGAAAAAAAAGTTAGTATTTTGCCCTCAAGCTTAGCAAAGTGTAGAGATAAATGCAAATCTTTTCCTTTTAAACACGATTGCAGAAAGTATTTTACGTGTATTATCTGAAAAGGGCTATAATATTTCCCATTATGTTTTACAGATATTAGCACTTTTTGCTATTTATGTATTTTAAAAGTTATATGGTCAAAATAATCTTCTGCTTAGCATCTCTTAAAACTTTACCTGCAAATGTAGCAGGGATATTACATTTACTTTAATACTTGTATAAATCTATGCAGAATTTTTAATAAAATGTAATATATTTTATAAGCTAATAATTGGGTAATTAAAGGTTTCTAGCATGCATTCCTATCATTTGCAGATACTGAAACATTTTGATAATCTTTCTCACTAAAGATGTGAATGTTTTAATGTACCTTCACTGTTTCTACTTTTGGTAGTCCAATGGGAATTCAGTAATGACATTTTGTCATGTTGAACTGTGAATATAAATTTGTACTGTACAGTCCTCATATGTTATATATAGTATGCTATATGTGTTACACTTGTTAATAAAACAACAAATATTAAATGCCAATATGTAGTTAAAACTATACTTTAAAATTGGCAATTTTTATTTTTAATGAAGATAATATTGTACTAAAATTCATTGCTGGAAATCAGTTGTTGCAGGTAAGGTCAGCTGAACAGTCAGTGACTGTAAGGTCAGCTGAACAGCCTTGACTGAAACTACAGTAATTTTTTAGATTGTTCAAAGCAGTGTAGGAGAAGCTTTGGTTGCTGTTTATCTATCTAATTGCTCACCCTAGGAATATCACTAATTGCAAATATCAGAGCAGATCATCTTATTCAGTATGTTCCTTCTCATGTGCTTGAATACAAACCAAGATGATGACTCATCGCTTTCCGGATTGGAAATCATGATCTGTTTTTCCACAAGAAAGAAACCAGCTCTTTTGAAAAGGTTCATTGAGAGTTGGTCTAGGTAGGATCATCAGGTTCTGCCCACCCAGGAATTGTCCCACAGAACCTGCAAGTAAATTGATTTTCTCCATTGCTTGCATCTGACAGCTGTCAAAAGTTAAGCTGCCAAATGTAACCAAATATATGAGTGATCTTTCTTTGCAAAACTGGGATGATGGCTTATTCACCCCCTTGGTGGCAAGATCCTTATGTCTTGCTTTTCTGAGTAATTTATACCCTAAGGTACTTGTATCCCTGCAGTTTGTACTTGTATCCCTGAGATTCTGCAGTTCAGGGACATGCAAAAGTGTGAGTCATCCATTTACATAAGTATTTGCTTTTGACTACTGTAGTTAATTTTGACATCTTCCATTTTTAAAGTTGGATTAAAACAGGTAGAACAGGTTAAAAATTACAGGGAACAATATCAGTGTTTAGACTTTATTCATCTTTATAGTTTCCAGCCATATACTAATGCCCCTAGATTCAGCTTCTGAGTAAAGTCTTCTGACATCCAAACTCCTAGTGTATTGCTCACTGCTTAAACAGTTATCTGGGGGTTTGCTGCCTATATGAATAATCTTAATCTGGCAAGATCTTAGGTAAATAGCCCAGGTTTTAGCAGGATTTTGGCAACACAATAACCCATGTTCCAATAAGAATGTATGGTTCAACAACAACCCATGTTCAACTTCTATTCAACCCGAGTGTCAGTTAATTGAGCTGTCTGAACCCAGCCAGTGGCTGGGTTCATTCAACATGTCAAGCCACAGTGGTTTATAAGCTGTGGTTATATAGTATGTTGCCTGAACCCAGCACTCTTCCCACAGTGTGGTTTATAGACCACCCCAAGTAGCCATGGCTTGTGGAAGGTTACTTCTCCAAACCAAGACAACAAAATAAGCCATGGTCAAGTCAAAAAGTCAGAGAACCTCTTGGTCAGAGCAACTGAAAGTCAGCATAACTGCCTTTCCTAAGCACCCTTAAATTCCAAAGCAGCACTTTGGGATGACTGGAAAATACTTCCATTCTCTGCAAGCAAGGTAAATTACAAAACTGAGGATACTGTTGGAGCTTCCTAGCATCGACCAGAAAACTCCGAGAATCCTGCTTGGAAGAGAGAATTGAGGAGGTGTCCCCAATACACCTTTCAACAGGTCCTTGAAGGTATGAGGCAATTATGAGCAACTCAGATCCACAAGAACACCCTCCCCAGAAGTCCTGAGGGTTCTTCTTCAAAGGGCGCTTTTCCACATACTCATCATTTTTAAAAAGTTTAAAAAATAGCAGTGGACCACAAAATTGCAATATGACATGTACACTGTGCCCATGCAGCAGTCCACTGTTTATTTTATTTATTTTAATGATGGAAGGCACTAAGTGCTTTCCAAAAAGCATCTTTCCGCTCCTCAGCATTGGACCACACTCCTTTTTGCAAGACTTCGATTTAAAGTCCCATCTTCTTTTCTCTAGGTATTTCCTCTGCAAAGCTGGTGTCTTTTAGTCAGGGTGAAGAGGTTGGATGCATCTTAGTCTAGCTCCTCCATCTTGACCATTCCACCTTGGGTGACCCTGCTAAGAGACCAGCCTAATGAGAGAGTCTAGCCTCCTGGCAGAGTTGCTCTCAGCTTATCTGGCTTCAAATCCCCTCACCACATTAAGGTGTGCATCCAAGAGGTATATCTAAGTACTATTTAAATAGTAATCAATAATTTCAATCGATGTTAAACAAATTTGCTGCATTGACCGATTACATTCCTAAAGAAGGCTGTAGACTGACTATGAAGCCATTGATCAATGCACAAAGTTTTTAAAGCTTATGAAGAATATTGTTATGCAACATCACCCAGTAATAAACTATTATTTGTGCTGGTAACTATAATCTCCTTAATTTGAGCCCCAAAGAATGCTGCTGTACTCTGTGCTCAGCAGGGTTATATTAGGCCACAAGAGAGACTATCTAAATTTTAATTTAATCCAATATTTTTTCCTACGCAAAACAAACAAGTAAACCAAGCCCCACACCCATGTAGGGTCTGGATATTTTCCTAGCTTAAGAGCATAAAGGTATTAGATACTTTTTGTAGGTTTACTTAACTACATTTCGAGACCAAGGAATATACCGTTTCTAGTAAGATGAATGAGCACTTAAAAGTGGAGTCGCAAGGCAATTTTGGTAATTCCTGGTTCTGATCAAGATACTAATTCATCCCATTTGTAATGTTTTGCTGTATTCTAAATTGAGAACCATTTCCCAAAGGGATTTTTTTTTTTTTTGGCAGGGGGTGGGGGAAATGCAAAATGAGAGTCTTCAGCACCATGCCAAGTATTGAAAGCCAAGTGCCATTTAGGTATGTCAGACCCAGGTTTTAGAGGGCCCTTTGGCAAGACCTTCTCAACAGGCCCCTTGCCTCAGTGAGTCTAACTTCTCACCAGCATGATCACCAGCTGCTATAGTTCCTCATCCTCTTTCTCATCACTGATTACTTGACAGTGAACTTTTGAGAAGATAAACCATGGCATCAACTTCTCCTCCTTACCACTACTATTGGGACCAGAGAAAGCCACAACCAGGTTGCACTGGCAAAGAGGAATGATTCCAGAGGTCTCTTACCAGTTGCTGAGATACAGGACCTTGGCAGGTGTTGATGCTGACCCTATTTAGGTATATGTGTTAAAGCTCTTTCACATGAAGCCCCTAACACTTGGTTCTATTTCTCTGTGAAATCTGAATTGGGAGGTTGTGCATGCTTTGAGCTAGGGTCCAGCAGTTTTGGCTTGGATGAGAGCTAATACAATATATTGGGGCCAAGTCCTGGTAAGAAAACCTATGGATGGGCAATGGAAATTGGGCTGTTTGCCTGGTCTAGATGAGGTAGCACTATGGATGCAGCCATGTCACTGGAGGCCTGAGTGATCTTGGTGTCCCAAAGCATCCATTACCAACTTTGGTTTATACACTAATTGCACATGTTCCTGGATAGGAATAATCTGTCTATACTGGTTCATACACTGGTAATCTGATGAGTAATACTGCTGTATGTGGAACTTCCCTTGTACCAGGTTTAGAAGTTGCATAACAACTAGGGTACTTGCTGGGTCACCCACCTATGTTCATATAAGACCTGTACTAAATAAATTGCACTAGCTTCTTATTAGCAATGTTCACAGAAAGCTCTTGGGACAAGGTTCTCCAGCAAGCCACCTTCTTTTATGCAGCCAGTTTACCTTTAAGAGCTTCAGATGAGGCCTTGCCAGTCATTCCACAACAAAGAGAATGTTGGCACATTGATACCTTGTTGTAGATCTTCTTGGTGACCATGTCCACCTTCTGGAAAACCCTCACTGATGCCGTTTGGAAGCCAGAAAATAAGGCATATTTCAAGCACTTCCTGAAAATGCATTTGTTCAGCCAAGCTTTATGGAGCCTGCAACTAATCATATGCTCTTAGTGCTGTTTATATCGTTTTCTGCTGTTATGTAAACTGCACAAAATCATTTTTGATTGTGCATTTGGAGTGTGTCAGTAATGTGTGTTTATGAAACCACTTAGGGATTTTATTATAGTAAGCAGCACAGAAGTATCACTATAAAATAAATACACAGCCGAATGCATGGCACCCACGCGAGCTCTCAACAATTCTCATGAGAGGGCTGAAACTGTTTCTTCCACCTCTGCAGCTCCCAGTGTGGGAAGCAGAATCATGCAAGTACTCCGGAGCGGTAGCTTCATCTCTGCAGCAAGCAGCACAGCTGCAGAGAGCTGGCAGGGCTCTTCAGAGCATCCCCTAGAGGAGACAGGGCAGCCATAGCAGCAGAAGTCCTCTTCCAGGTGGAAAAGCAACACAATCCCACATTGCTCCTGCTATACACCTATATGGGCACTGCAGGTTCTTCACTGGAACCCCCAGCCAGCCCTGGGTGCAGTTCTACAAATAATCTATAGCCTATGAGTGAATGCAATAACTTAGTTCTATTAGCAGAAATTGCAGTGGAAACTGCAAAATATTTTGACTGTGCCTCAAACAGTGAGCGGGAACAGCATTTCCTTTGCATAGCCAGCATTTTAAAAGTCTTAAAAGAAATAAAAGACTTTAAAAAATAAAATTCTGGCTCCTCAGCTCTTCTGAGGTTCTATCATTGCCAAGTTCTGCTTTTCTTACTAGGTGTCATGAGCTAAGTGTTCCCTCCCAAGCAGGACAGACTCTCTAGCACTTCTTGTAAGCATCTTTATTCTACATAGAAGACTCTAAGCATTCACAATCCTCTGAGCATACACAAAGTGTAGTTGAATCCTCTCTACCCCCCTTTACCCAAAGCTTTGCTTGTGAGCACATCAGAGCCCATCTCTGGAAGGAGGAATGCACCTGCATTCTGCACTCTGAGCCCCTAATCGGGCCAGCCTGTGTCTGTGCCGGTGGGTCCTTGGGTCCATGTCTTCAGGAGACAGTTGTTCTCCATCCAAGAGACTACCCAGTTCCAAATCTCCTCCCTCCCGTCCTTCATCTGCTTCATTCCCATTCCCACAGGTGAAAGGGAGACTGGCCCCATGGGTGTCCTTGAGCTACTTTCATCCAGAGCAGGCTCAGACTGGTACTGAGCGACTGGGTCTGCAGATGCGTTACAACAATTCCATTATCAGTGTTTGCGCTCTGAGCCTCATCGAGTTCAGCCAACTCCCCATCATCCTCAGACCCTGAGCTATCAATCCTACCAAAAGAGGCCACCTCTCATGCACGCCTGGGAATCTCACCGGAGCACACATGCACAACAGTAAGGTGGACCAATGTGTAGTCCAGTGGAGGAGGCAGGGAACACAGGGACGGAATGCACCTTACATCAAGAACAGCAAAAATGAGCTTTGTGGGGTACTATTTTGACTTTAAACAGCAAGTTTGTTTTTCCATTAACTTTCCCATCTACCCAATATCGTTAGCATAATAGCCTTGATGAAACCCAGGTGCAACAAAGTGTATCAACTCCACACTGCTGTAAAATCTCTTGAAATTATTGACTATGCATGGCAACCGGAAACCACACTTTTGGTTGGGGTCTGGTGCTGTGAACCAAGCCTTACATTTTTTTTCCCTTTCATCTCATTTTGCATAAACAGCTGTTCATAGTAAACATAATTCCTATATTAAACTGAAGTTACTTTAGCTTTTCCTGTTTCTTTCCCAGAAAAGTTAATTTCTGTGTTAGCATAAAGACCTTCTACTTTCTTGCAAAGCTCCACTAGAGGGCACCCATGATTCATTTAAGGATCCAGCATATTGCTCCATGGACAGGGATGCTGGGAAGATGTACCCTATCCTTATACCTTATACCTAGTTTTACAGTATGCATATTTCTCTGAACTGATTTCCATGCATGTGATTAAGCATAGGTAAGTGTACAGATTCTTATCAAGTCATGAAAAATGTGCTTGAAGACATGACCTAACCAGTGAATTTTAGTATGTTGCTGACATAGGATGTGTTCAGACAGCACAACAAACCAGGGTGGCTTTTTACAATTGCTGGTCTGTCTTGTTGTTTGAACCCAGTCGTGTTATTTCACCATGGTAAGTTTGGTCTTTAGAAAGCATCATATGAAACAATTTTTTGGAATGATTTTTCTGTACCATCATAGCTTGTCATGATGTCTAAACTGAGGATCATGGTTACCATGGTCATGGTATGCAATTAACACTGAGCCCTCTAGAAAGACTGGCAACTGAAGGAGCCACTCCAGCTATCCTGCCTGTATGTATGGATAAATGAGGAAGAGGCAGATGACATAGGCAGGGAGCTGTGCTCCTAAGGATTCGATTTCAGGTACAGTGGCTGAAGGGATAGAGACCAAGAGTGAGAAGACTGAGTGGGGAGGATGGAAACCACAAGAAAGGAGAAACCATTTGAACATCTGTCAGATAGATCATGGTAAAAAAAACAAAAAAATCCTGCAAACCATGGTAACTACTGAGGATCATTTGTTGTGTTGTGCGGGTGCAACTGCATTATACAATCTCCCAGTGCAGTGATGGCGAACCTTTTAGAGACCGAGTGCCCAAACTGCAACCCAAAGCCCACTTATTTATCGCAAAGTGCCAACACTGCAATAAAACCTGAATATGATGCTGCAGATTCAAATATGCCAGGGGGAGAGCACAACGTTAATTAGAACATCTCTTTGCTAAATCTTAGATATTAAATTTCAATTTTTCATACGAAAACTCAAAGCTAAAATCTTGTGTTAATAAAAACGAATGTATTAAAATGCACAGCCAGTCCAAGCATATATATCCTTGGCAGCGCACTGACCAGCCATGCAAAAGCTCGGACAAGTCGTGGCTAATGAGTCACAGCTCATGGCATTATCACCTGGTGCTGCTACTCCTTTCTGAGCATGCGCATGGCCTCTATGTGCGCTGTTATCCGATGCTCAGCTGCTGGAGCAATGCTGAGGTGATTTGGCTTGTGTGCCGAAAGAGAGGGCTCTGCATGCCCACTGTGGCACGCATGCCATAGGTTCGCCACCACTGTCCTAGTGAATGGTTCTCCTAGTGGACCTCGTCCCGTTGATATACCTACTTTTCACCCAGCGGCCTCATTTGGAATCCCATCTGCTCTCCAAATCAACCACTATACTAACAAATACAATTTTATATGCTAAGTTACACACAATTCATTATTATGTTCTTAAAGCAGTGAAGTAACTGTGGAACAGATCAGAATTTAAGTATTGCATATACTTAAATTTTCCCCCAAATTTTCTTCTTCCTTCTGCTTTGGACATTTTCAAAAAGGTTACACTTTTATAAACAGCTAAAGTTTCCAAGGAGTTTTAAGGAAAGATGAATATTTGAGCAGGCATCCATAACTCCGCTCACCACAGAGAAGAGTGAACAACCCTCTGGTAAGTACGAAGAGCAACCAGTCTGCCACGTTGAAGCTGCAGAGGATGGCACTGCTAGGGATTGCCCTGGAGCTGGGTGGTATTCGCTGCTCCTCCTAGCCTCCAAACCTGGGGAAAAAAGGAAAAGGTCATGGGACAGCCACAAGGTCACTTGTTAAGCCACATCATGGCCCTGGTTCCCAATGAAAATGCCTATGATTGTGAATCGCACATAAAATAAGCTGTGAAGATGTGCCTGGTTATGCAGGACTAGCTCGGGTCCATACCAAAATTACAATAAAAAGTGTGGCGAACATCTTTCCATTATAGTTCTCCATGGCTAAGAAGAAGAAGGCATCAGGGCATATGAAAGAAGCAAAAGGCTGCACAAGGCAACAAAGTTGGGATGAAGAAATCATGGCATAGCTTGGTATGCAGGGCATAAGCTAGGACCCAGAACGTTGCAGTTTGTATTGACATATAAAACTGGTACATACAGGAACTGAATAGCTGGTGCAGGGCACATACAAGCAAAAGGGTAAAAAATGGAGGGGTCTCTCTCATTCCCCTTGGTCTTTTCCCTACAGCTACAGTCTCAAGATATGCTCTGGTTTGCAACAGAGCAATATAATTCAAGAAAGAAGCACTAGGACCAAGAAAGAACAATAGGATAAAACAGGATATAAAAGGATAAAGCAAGACTTGTTGGGGCACAGGGGGGTGCACTCTACTTCTACGCAGAACAACCCTGGCCTGACATCCTTACCTTCAGAGCAAGGAGCTCTGAAGCAGACATTCTCAGTACTTGTTTAAATAGGAGTAGAAGGCTTCAACAGTACCCCATTCCCCTTCTGTATGATGCTGTATCCTGTTCATGGCAAGTTTTCTCAGGAGAAAAGTCCAGAATGCCATTTTAGGATTGTAGACTGAAGATTACCACCAGCTAATTTTTGTATATTATCAAATAAGTCAAAACAATCCATCTTTGTTTTGTTTCTAATGTAAAAGGAGCATGGGAAGATGGGTTTCCATTAAATTTGTCCTTTCTCTGTGTAAAAACTATTGCATAATTACCTCATAAATATTCTGATTTCCATTTAACATAACTGTCTTTCAGCTTCTTTGAATTCTCGTGGTATTTAGAAAATACCTAAATAATAACGAACACTTTGCACTGAAAATCTTTGTAACAAATGCTACACTTGTCAGCAGTACTACAATTGTTTCCCCAATATGCTGAAATTTCTTACCTGTTTATCGGTCTCAACGAAAACTGACTTTTATCTATAATTGCTGCATTTCACCTTCATTCTGTGGAAGCGTAATCTGAATGGCTGCCCGAAGATTGGCCCAGAAAAGTGCGTGCTTGCTTTTTTCTTTTGGCCATTCCAAGTATGTTCTCTTGGCCATGAGGGCTTTGAGTTTGTGGTACCTGGATGGAATTACGTATTTAGGAATGGGCTCTAATAAAACAAGGATCAAATTGTCTGCATTTTCACTGAATACCTTGTGCTGGGCAAAATAGAGCTCATAATGACACCAGTCGCTCTGCACAAAATTAGGAGACAACACAAAGATGGTCTTGTAACTTTTCTCAGTACAGTCAATGATGTTCTCAACAATGCTCTTCCCTGCAACAAAGTTCCTCTCATGCTGGCAGATGCGTATGGATGAATCCTCCTTCTCCAGATTTGGAATCAGGACATTTTTCACCCAGTCAGAATCACGCTCACTGTAGGAGATAAAGGCGTGGAACTCGATGCCCTTGAGGATGTGCTCAGGTGTCCTCTTCCAACCCCTGTGTTTCACTTGACTCCAGTGCCACGTCATCTTCAAATACCATGGGATATCCAAACAGATACAGAGGACGGAAATGGCAACCAGGGCCACCACTGTAACAATGAGAACTACAGCCATCAGAAGAGTCACATTGCAAGCAACTTCAGAGACATGAAAATCTGTTAAAGGTGTTCCCTTTAATTGCTGAGGATAGTCACATGTGTACAAGTCAGGCCAACCAACAAACTCCACTGATCCTTGTTTTTCAAGATTAATGAATGGCCTTAACTCACAGGAACACATGAATGGGTTGTGACCTCCTTTTAAGGTCCTGATATTCTGACAGCTTTGGAGGAACTCGGAAGAGTTCGAGGCAACTAAATTACTTTCTACATTTAGTAACTGGAGACCTCTAAAATGACCACAGCCAGGCAAGGCACTTAGTTTATTAAAAGCCAAATGTAGTTCTTTTAAATTGTTCAGCTCAATCATCTCCTTAGGAACACTTGAAATGTGGTTGTCTTGCAAATCCAGTATTTGAATATTGACTGGCAAACACCAAAAGACTGACTCAGACAAAACATTAGATGACAAGTTCAATTTAACTAGCATTTCTCCCCATAGGCACTTATCCCTATTGTCTTCATACTGTAATAAATTCTTGCTCAGGTCCAAATCTTTCAGAGACTGCATGAGAGCTGCCATTGCACTCACTTTTCTAAGCTCTTTCAAACTATTGCTTTGTAAAACTAGTGTTTCTAGGAGGGTCAAGTGATTGCATCCTTGGAAAACTGAGTCAGTCAATGCATTATCTGAAAAATTTATGTAGGTAAATTGACTTGGTTTTGAAGGGCAAACCATGTGTACCAAACCTGTCCTAACAATTGTCAAGAATTCAATGTTCATATCTGAAAAGGACTGGTATACAATTTTCTGATCAAATAAGTAATTGTTGAATTTAGCATTGTTAATAACTAAAGCTTTTACTGAAGTAGGAATGTCATGTAATGGTTCAGAACTGAATTCTGTAATGGTCGTATCATCGACAGTGAAATATTCAACAGTGGATTGCCACACGATCTTAAACACAGCAAGCAAGCATTCCCATGAAAGTTGTCCATTACTCACTGTTAAGTTCTGCAATCTTCCATTTTTGTTGAGCATTAACAAAAATGTTGAAAGATCAGAGACTTGGTTTTGTTCAATTTTTGAAAGTTGTAAATTTTCTGTAATATTGAGTTCTAAATCCAATAAAATCCGGAATTCTGTATTCAGGGGCAGTACAATTTGAAGGTTTTTTGCACTAAACACTGGAAGATTTCCAGAGCTATATTCAGAGAGGTATTCTAAGCCCAAGAAGAGAGTATCTAGTTGTAAATGAGCTAGAGCATGGAAATCTGATTTTTGAATTCTTTTAAGACTGAGGCCAAGATATTCCAACTTCAATGTTTTTCCAGTCTTGGGGCATATGGGCATGGCTGTGTAGTTATTGTAAGAGAGATCTAGATGCCTGAGACGTAGCATAGGATGACAAGAAAGCATCTGCAAGTTGTTGTGAGATACGTCCAGATGTTCTAAATTGGTATTGTATTGGAAAACACTGAAGTCAAACTCTCTGATTCGGTTGTACGACAGAATGAGTGTCTGTAGTCTGGAAAGTGAATGAAAATCAGACATCTGTAGTTCAGTGATATTGTTGTGTGACAAGTCCAACACTGTTGTTTGTGTAGATAGGTTCATAGGAACAGTAACTAGCTGTTTCTTTGAATAGTTTGCTTTAAAAACATTTTCTGCTGTGGTAGAGATAATGCTCCAGAATGCTGTTGTGAGTATACAAGTACAGAGAAAACTGCAGGTGCCTGAACTTTTGTTTTCTGCCATAATATTTCAGGATTATTTAAACAGGCTTATCAAAATTCTTGTATTTCTGTAATGACCACTGTCCTGTAGGAAGAATCCACATTAAAATGGTAAGCACACTAATAGAAATGTTAAGTGTTAGTCTTCCATAAACTGTTATTTTTATTATTGTAGTAACAATAGAAGACACTTTGCAGTGTATCAGAATTAAACAGCTGTTAAGAATATACTTATGAAAGGATTTCCTGCTAGCCACCCAGAACTGGCTGTTGAAGATACTGAAAGTCTTATTTGTTTTTTAAATAAGTTTTATTTGAAATTATAAACCTTAAAAACAAAAAGAAAACTACAAACAACATTCATCATCAAAAACATCGAGCCCGCTGGGTCAGCCCCCACACCCTTCTTTTTCCATTTATGATAACTTAAAAAACATATTTAAATCTATGCCAAGTCCCGTTTCTCTAGCCAATAGTAAAAAGAGTCCTAAGTTTGATAGAAGTCTGAAAGTCTTATTTGTTAAGCAGGTCAAAAACTGGTGGGATCCACCCCTGGAGATTTATTTCTCATGCAGTACTTAGAAGTGTAACTGTAGCATAAAGTACATACAGTGGTACCTTGGCTCATGAACTTAATCCATTCAATGACTCTGGTCACGACCCAAATTGGTCGTGAGCCAAGTCAAATTTCCCCATAAGGTTCAATGTAAATGGTTGTAAATAAGGTAACCATTTTTTAATCACAAAAATTTGAAGCAAAGTGACAAAGAACAACAGAGTAACAAAGAACAACAACGATTGCAGCCATCTCCATCCCCCGAGCACGACCGTGATCGCACCCGTCTTCCATGCATGAGCACGACTGCAGCCATAGACGGGTATGATCACGGTCGCATTCAGCAAAGGAAGACGGGCACGATCGCAGCCATCTCCCCCACCCCAAGCACCACCGTGGCCATCTCTCCCCCAAGCATGACTGTGATTGTGCCAGTCTTCCCTGCACGAGCGCAACCGTGACCGCAGCCATAGATGGGCACAATCGCAGTCATGCTCAGGCAGGGAAGATGGGTGCGACTGCAGTCATCTCCCTCCCCCACCCAGCACGGTCATGATCATGCAGGAAAGACGGGTGCGATCGCGATTGTCACCTAATGCAGAGTTTGCAACCTGAGGCAAAAATTTTCTGAAATTTCTTTTAGCAACCTGATTTGGTCATGAACTGAGGTGTTCGTGAGCCGAGGTACCACTGTATGTGCATTCCACCATGGATAAGCATGTATTTGACAGTCAAATGAATTCCAGACTACTATACGAAAACCCTGATCATTAGCAGAACCTTTCTCAGTATGATTGACTCCCACAAACAAATCTGTTTTCACCTTTAAAATAGTGCACATGATTCAGTTACAGATGTCATTGCATCACATTTGGTTTAGTCAGCTGCAAAAGATGAAAAGACTGATTCACCTTTCATACTTGTGAAGAGGGAATTTCAACAGGTATCATAAAAGGACAGTTCCTGAAATTGCCTCTTTTACAAAACCATTAAAGGTACACAAGGCCTACCCTCTTTGGCATCTGGCCCACTTCATTTGGCACTGATACACAACAAAAGACAGCTTAGAACTTGCTTAAATAAAGGTAAGTAGCATAAGTGTTTTGAACTAGGCGATGGTCCACAACATGAAATGCATGTGTGTGCATCTTTGCTGTGGGGGTTTTTAATGTTTGCATTTGACTGGTTGGGAAATGTTTGCTTTGCAAAATTCTTGCTGCATAAAAGATTGGCATCATTGCTTTAAGTAATTGCCTGTTCCCCTGATCTCAATTTGTTAATGAGCAGCCTTTGCAGGATCTCTATAAGTTTCCAGTACTCTCTCCTCATAAGAAAAAAGGACCATGTAAAAAGCTGCTTCTGCTATATTTTAAGTTTTCTTAACTCAACTTTTTATGAACTTTTTGCCGTGTAACCTCCATTTATCTTCAATGACTGCATTAGCATGCATTATGATTACAATTCAGCAATAGCAAACAAAATAAAATAAAATATGGAAATGGCCTGCAGCGTATGTTGATTTAGCTCTAAGGCTTCTACTCAGGGTCAGCCTTTCATACACAATTGTTAGGATAATAGATCATACTGGTACTTTCACAGTAAGCACCTACTCTAAGTATGTGCCAGAATCCCAGGAACATGCCTCTGTCCAACTGTCCAGTTCAGCCCTCAGGGAAGCAAAAGCATGTACAGTGTTTTCTCAATCAGCTATGGCAGATGTATATGCATAAGATCTGCTCTTGGGAAAAAGTACTCACAACACTCATTTCACAGCTAATCCGCATGTACAGCATATTTCAGCTGCCTTATAACTCTGAAAGCAACAAGAAAGAAGAGTGTCTTTGATGATTATGCCAAAAAGAAAGCTACCTTAAGAGCTATTCATTTCATTGGGTCTACTCTAAGTAAAACTAACTTAGTATTTTGAGTAAATTTTTACTGTTAGACTTAAAAGAGAGCAAGCACAAAATAAAGTAGTAATGCCTGCAGTATTTCCTGAAACATTACAAAAATTCATCCTGACCAAATTAAGATGAAGCAAAACTTCTACCACTCTTTCATGATCTAAAAATAAGTGTAACTTACAGGAAATCAATGCTGTTGAGAACACTTCTTCTTTTTCAACTTTGTTTAAAAAAACAGTTGCAACCTTCATAATGAGACTTATCTGGACCTACATGCTGCCAATACTTGCTCATATATCTAAGCACATATATCTAAATTTAAACTTGCAGCTATAACTTTGGATCAAAACAAAGAAAAGTAGCCATCAGGGTAAAATGGAGAATGAAACACAAGCTTTTCTTGTAAAAAAAGATGATCCTGCTACTGTTCATATCAGCTATTTGTGTTTATACAATTGCATTGCATTCAGCTGTTGGAATCATACAGTACTACCTTCACTACTGATAAGAAATGTACAGGGTTAGCTCTGATTGTTTCTAAGGCAATGTGGACTGAACCAAACAGATTGTGTTTTGGGTGGCATCATGTCATCTTAGTAACACGAATACAGTTCCTAAGCAACTTAATTCCTCATATTAAGCTAATAATCCTATGGGCAGGTCACATTGCCCAGGAATGGAACTGGCTGGCAAGTCAGCCTAGACTGGTAAGAAGTGCTATGGACAGAGAGGATACTTGAGCATCCAATTCCAGTAGCAGCCCCAAGCTGGTTCTTAGTGGAAGCGCACCCACAGGCTGGAGCAGGTTGAATCCCAGTTTCTTTGTAAACTTTATCACTACCTCAGTCTTATCAGTTTATTAGCTCTCATGCATCTGTTCTTTTGTAAGGACTGCAGGATGGTGTGCAAGTCTGGCTTGGTGTGCAAGATGGTTGAGGAAGTCTGGCTTAAGTGTTCCTAACAAAAAATGATTAGCACACTGTTTCAGTATATCCTGAACAGATGTCCAGCAGAACTTGGAGAAGCAGACACTTCACTTTCCGACACACTGAACAGTGTTTGTGGAGATGCAATTTGGCAGTTTGAAATAGAAAAAAGGCAGACCATGAAGCAGAAGCTCTCCCTTCAGACTGGATGCAGCCTAACAGCTCTGATGTCTGATAAAAAATATTTACTGTCCACCTCCACTTGTGCTCTACGTGCGGTAAACAAGCCTGGTGTTACAAAATTGCTCCAAAGGAAACCAAAGTGGGGGAAAACACAAAACCTGCATTGTGGCAATTCAAATTCTGCACTAAGAAATCTGAGTTAGATGGCCTTGCAATTGAGAAGACTGGTTTCCTTTCTCTTATTCTGCGTAGATGGTTTTGGGTTTCCTGGTCATGCAGAGAAGCAAGATGCTCTGTGATGAACTAAGCCCCCTACCCCAGTTTCTAAGATTTCAACAGACATGATGCACACATTGTTATATCTTCATCCATAAGGACTACTAACTTTAACTAGCACGAAATCTTCCACATGTTTGGATAACCCAATGTTCTGCAACTCCCAGCAAGCCCCAGTCAACCACATCGCCAGGAGAATGTGGTTGTAGGTCATTCTCTAAAACACGTATAGGATCACACACTTACTCATTGACAGATTTTTAAATGAAAGCTAAGATGCTCAGGAACCGAAGTCTGCATCTATTTTTGTGCTGTATGTGTTTGTGTGTCTTTGTTTCTATAGAATTGCAGCAATCACATGGCTCTGGTTATAACCTAACCAGTAGAATTCAAGTTTTATGCTTTATGATTTTGAGAGATGTATCTTGAAAACCTCTAAGGGGGTCATCTTCATCTCACATCAAGAATATACTTTTGATCAATCCTATTAAGACAATGTTGTTGTCAATTTTCAGATGGACCCTTTTTGTCTCAGTCTACTTTTTGTTAAGCTGGCTTATTTTCTGCTATGCTTAGAGGACTTCTTGCCATTCTGATTTTGTCCAGAGACCAGTACTTTAAGGCTAGATGGGCAGAAGACATTTTCCAGAAGCTTTAACCTTCCAGCTCACAGAACCCCTGGCCATGTCCAGGAATGCTGGCAGTCAAAAAACAAAGCAACTGGAGAAACATGCGACACCCTTGCTTTAGGGAGACATTTGGAGTGAGTTGCGACTTCTAGCAAAAGTATTCTGTCTTCCTTCCTTTGATTGGCCAGTGTTTTCTTTATACAACCTAAGATCCTTAAAAAAAACTGCCATGTAAACACCAAGTAGATTCCTACAGCTACTCGGGTGATTGGCACTAGCACCTCTGAGAGCTTTGTTTTTAAAAAGCCAGGTTACACCTTAGAGCTGCTACACATTACCCTACGGACCAAGAAAGCAAGAGACTACCCAGCCAAGTCTTTTCTTGCCTGGATTCTGATTTAAATTCAGTGATCTTTAACATTCTTTTCTTACTGTTGCTTCAGGTTACTGATGTGGTCACTGTGCTTACATATGTTTGTGTGTGTTTCATCATTTGCTAAAGCAACTCTAGTTTCTATGGAGAAAACAGTTGGGGAAAAAATGGAAAGATTATATGTGAAGAAAGTCCAGCCACTTTCATTAAATAATGGGACTTTTTTGTAACCACGTGGTAAGAAACGTCCTGTGCCTGCTGGCACTACATCGTCTCAGGAACGTTCTCCACAATAGCACACTATGCTAAAAGAGCTGTTTATTGACAATAAACGACTTTCGCTGTCTATTTATAAATCAATGCAGGCGTGGAGAATCCGTGGCCCTTCAGATATTGTTGGACTCTAATTCCCATCAGTCCCACATCAGTACTCTGGCCAATGGATGGAAAATTTTGCTATCCTGGAGATCCACAAGTGCCCTGTTACCAGATGAACGCCAGTCAGTATGCTTGAGGCGAGATGAGTACTAATATTGCGCCTGCTTAAGAGGGGCTGTTACGACCACTATGCAGCTGCTTCTTGAGAAGCAGCTGCAAAGCCTGAGAATTCCTGCGCCTCAAAAGCACAACCCTATTCATATTTAGGCCAAAGAAAATTCTACAATTCCCAGCATTCCCGAGCTGCCTAAACACGCATAGGATTGTGCCCCAAATGCCCAATTATTTAGAAAGTTATTCTCATGCCACAGTTAATAAGAAGATGGAGAGGGGAAGGGGCGGGGGATGAAAGCTTAGCCACAAGGCGCCAGCATGCGAAAAGTTAGCAATGCAGAAGCGTCTACCAATTTGCCGCGTTTTTGTCTTGCTTTTTTTTTTTTTTTTTTTTTACCTGGATCGCGTGTCTCTGACTTGAGCAGCCGGAGAAAACAAGCCCCGCCGTCAGAACTGTGTAAAAAGCTATTCTAGGCAGCCTTTCCGGCTCGAATAAAAAGAAAAGCTAAACTCAAAAAGTACTTCCTCGCGCCGCTAACCCGCCTCCGAGACGGCTGCATTTGTTGCGATTAGCGACGCCTACTTTTTCCTGCAAACTGCACTCTCTGCCTCTGAGACTTTCTGTTTAATTGGCATTTTAGGATTACTGACTTGACGAATTGGGCAAGGCAACGAAAAGGCACCTGGAAAAGGTAGCTCTGATAGGCTACAACTACTTCTCTGTACGATTCTTAGCAATTCACAAAACTAGTTTGTCGTTTCACTTTGACCACACAATTCAGATATCGCAAAAAAAAAAAAGCTTGTAATCACGACCAAAATTGCAATCCTATGGGTTGTATCCCGATTTAGAAGCCCCACTGAAATTAAGCTTGGCGTGGCAAGCTTAAACCCTATGGATTTCAATAGACCCATTCAAAGTATAAATAATTCTGGATCCAGCCCAGTAACTAAAGAGCAAGGGCCATTAAACCGAGTAGGGTTTATTCTGAGTCAGCATGCTGAACATCAAGCTTTACACATCTGTGAAATACAGGGGAAAATAATTTATTCCACCCATTTCAGTAGGACTTAAACATGAGTACGGTGACCTGGAATACAGGTCTTCCGCCACCAAAATCCATGCATGGCACAATTCTACCACCATGTATTATCTCATGGAAACTACTGACCTGCTGTTTGGGGACTGCTCAGCCTCAACCCAGGATGGACATGTCAGGTTCTCCCTCTTAGTCCCAGGCTCTTCTTGGTCCTCTTCCTCAGAGGAATCAAAGAATCTGAAATACCTGAAGAAGAAGCTGGTGTTTCTTTCAGCAGGAGAATTTTTTCTACCACTCTCTTGATTAACAGGGTGGTGACTTCTTCCAGTAGAACATGAGTGGACCGAGTGGTGCAGATGGATTATTATCCTCAAAGGTGTAACTTTGAGCCATGACAGAAAGTATGCACTTGTGCATGGTAACCGACTTCCAAGTAGCAGGAAATAGTCCAAGTCTGAGAGAAAGCAAGTGGTTGGATCCTGATGTAGGAGTCAAATATGCCTTTTGGATTGGTCAGGAATTTTTGCCTCTTGTGGGATGGTTGTGTTTACGTCAGAATGATTTCCTGGGATAAAGGAAGGACTGTGATTTTAGTTTAAAGGTTAATCTGGTTCCAAGGTAAATTGGTCCCAAGGTGGCCACTGGCATTTCCTGTAGGGATATAATACATTAGCCTAGGCCTATGAGGACTAGAATCTTATTCGCAGCTAATTGTCCTCATTTTGTAGATCCAGAGCATTATCTATGGACATGCTCAGTAGATCTTCACTGCTGAATCCTGTGGGCTTGATCTAGCTTCCTGGTGAAGACTTACAGGATTGAGGCACATGTGATGCCTCAGAGAGATGGCAGCTGCCATGGCCTTGGAGGTGCTGTCGGCCCTATGGTGGGTACATTTACTAGCCAGCTAGCCTGTGTGCTTCAGCCTCGAATATCATTGCTAGGTTTTTGATGTCTTTCAGGAGATGAGCCAAAAAGGTTGCAACCACTTTCCACAGAAATTGTCTCTAAGGTGCCATGCCTACCACCCAAAGGCCTAGAGCTACAGAGGATCAGAATTCAGGACCCATCAAGTCTACTTTTCTTCCTTTGGAGTCAACAGGAGCAGAGTGGGGGGTTTGCTTCATTTTAGATTGGGATGCCATGTTTCTTCTGGCCTGTTTGGTAAATACCTGTCAAGTAGGTATAGGAGTCTATCCTGTGTTCCTCTCTGAGGCAGAAATGGAAGCCCATTCATCCATCAGTCAATGGACTGTCTGCCAAAATTTTGAAAAAGGCCTATAAGGGTATGTGCTCTGTGGGGACGAAGTAGAAGACAGGAACTCAAAGAGAGTAAGAAAGAAAAGGAGGGAGGCAGATAGGCAGGAAGGAAGGAAAAGAGAGGAGGAGAACTCTGTGCAACATCACAGAAGGGGTGATTTTTTTTTAAATATTACCTATAACAGGAATGATGTTTCAAAGTCCCCTAACTGCTGCCAGGAAACCAATACTGAGAGACAAGCAGGAACTAGGCCTGGAGTGTGCACAGAAGATGCAGGTGGGACTCCTGCCTAAAGCTTTGTTCTGCTCTAGAATGTTCTAAATAACTAATTTGTGCCTAACCCATTGACTCACTCACATGAGTGTCTCTTGAGGAGGCAACATAGGCCCTTTTCTACAGCTACATCCAGTTATATTAATTGCCCTCATGCTCTTTTATTAGTTGGGGAATGAGAGAATGAGAGAGAGAAGGATCTTAAGGCTGGGATTTTCTGTTGGGTTTGGGCAATCACAGTTTAAAGAAGACCTAGTTCCTTCTTATACAAAACATAGTAGATCTAAACCTATAGTATTTGAGAGCTGCACTTATTATATCCCTCTGCTTACTACTACTAAAGAATCTTTAAAAATATGGCTTTCTTAGTGCTTTGTATAGGCATATAATTTTCCAAATATGGGGAAATATCTATGTTCACTCATTTCAATATGTTAGCCTCTACATTATTAAGTGAGTAATGTAATAGGAACTCAGTTAACATACATCTGTGCCTTTGTAGAATTGAGAGAGTACAGACAATTCATTCCATATTTTGTAATTTGTATATTTTCAAATTTGTAATTTGAATGCACCTTTCACCAAATTGAGAAACTTGCAAGCCATTCACTATTGGCAGACAAAGGCAGCTGCCACTGCACACACAAGAAATGGTGTAGAAAAATTCTGCCAAATGGCCTTTTATTTCTAGGGTATGGCAGGGACTCAACACTTTTCCGAGAAAAAGGTCTTCTGAGAAATTTGGCTCAACACTTTTGGTTGTCATTTTTCAGGGTTCAGCACCTTCCCCATACCATTCCAAATGCTACATTTCCACTGCATTTGTGTTTGTATCTTGTCTCTAGTTCAGATTCTTTTACTACCACTGATTCCCCTAAAAAGTGTGCAACAGTTTTGCAATGTTTAGCTTTGGAAAAAAGGGGAAGCTAGGGCTGTGCCAAAATCTGTTTCCCAATTTTCTGAAAGTTTTCTTCTCTCATTCTCTTCCCCATTCTCATTTTTTATAATGTATTTAATTTTTCTTTTGGGTGTTTTAACAACTTACATTCACATGACACAAAAAGTCACACTGCATAATAAGTCACCTTAACCCTGAAGCATCCAACCAGGCACATTGTGAGTAGCGAACACCCTTTTCCCACTCCTTTCTTCTCAGTCCACTCCAAGATCGCTGGAGTTCCCCCCACCACAGCGTGACCAGAAATTACTTCAGCCTTGCTGCTGTTCATGCTTCCCTTTTAAAGAATGTCTTTATTCCAGTGGTGAAAGCTGGCTCTCACAGAGTGCATGCCAAATTCTGACAAAGAGTGCAGGTACGTGAAATATTCCCTAGATGTTTGAAATGCCACCACATTTGCTGAACCCTATTTGTAAAAAGGGATTTAGAAGGGGCTACAAAATTTCTTTTGGCAGAGAAATACACAGAAATTTTATTTTTCCTGTGTGTTTCCTTAATATATTGGCCCATGATAAAAATCTTATTTATGGTATCTAATTGATTACTTATCTATTATTATTATTATTATTATTATTATTATTATTATAACATTTCTA